AGGGAGGGCCGCGCTCTTCCCTCTGCTTCGGGTGTGGGAAGCCGCCTTGCGGGGGTTTCCGATGTCCCCTCCCCGTGCCCTCTCCGATAGGCAGTGTGACTCCCTACTTGCCCCACCTCGTGCACCACAGGAATCCGGACGGTGACGAGAGGCCCTGGTGCTACGTGGTGAAGGACAGCGCGCTCTCTTGGGAGTATTGCCGCCTGGCGTCCTGCGGTGCGCAGCTGGGGGCGGGTGCTGCCTCGGCCTCACCAAGGTCACAGCAGTTTTCCCTGTGGTCCTCCTACCCCCTCCCCACACCTGGCTACTGCACCTCTGACAGACAGATGGGGAAACTGAAGCTCACAGAGTCAGGCTGGTCCAAGGTCACACAGTGTCGGTACTGGGGTCACAGCGGGGGAGGCAGGGGGCTGGTCACCAGGTGACAGCCTCTGGTGGCACCTGACCAGCCTGCACTATGCCCAGTAGGGCCCCAGAGGCCTCCTGGGGAGGAGATGGGAGGATGGCGTGCAGGCTCCCCACAGGCGCCCTGGCATCAGACTCTGGGCGGTTAGCCCCGGAGAGGCTGCCAGCTTCCTGCCCCATGTCCAGGGCTCTCGTGCGGGGTCTCTGATGGTGCTGAGGCTGTCTGTGGGGTTCAAGACTGCTGAGGGGGTCCCAAAGCCCTCCGTGTGTCCAGCCACTCTGGCCCTCACAGAGCCTCAGGATTGGGCATCGAACCCCCTTCTACAGATCTGGAAACAGGGCAGAGGTGGGCAGGCACCTGCGCCTGAGCAGCGTGGACGGGGTGTCTGCCACGGCCTGCTGTGACACCTGCTGCTGGGTGGGGCAGGTGTGAGAAAGGGGGTTAGCCCTTTGGCCCCCAGGGATGTGACCAGGCGATCTTGAATCCCAGAATCCTTCACCAGAGCCCAGCCCCCACTCCCGGATCTCCTGGTGACCCTGCCTGAGCCAGCCTCCGCCAGACGCCAGGCCTGCGGCAAGAGGCACAGGAAGAGGACGTTCCTGCGGCCGCGCATCATCGGCGGCTCCTCCTCGCTGCCCGGCTCGCACCCCTGGCTGGCCGCCATCTACATTGGGGACAGCTTCTGCGCCGGCAGCCTGGTCCACACCTGCTGGGTGGTGTCCGCTGCCCACTGCTTCTCCCTCAGGTTTGCCTCCTCTAGGCCCCGCTGCCCTCCAGCGCCACCACACGCCCATTCCACCCGCTTGCCTCCGCTGACCCCTTCCTGGGGTCCCCAGTCATCCTTTCTGACCCCTCTGGGACTTGGGGCTCAGCCCTGAGCTGGGCACGCACAGAGATTCCAGAAACCCTGTCCCTGTTTAGGGAGCCCAGGGGTTGGGGGCGTTTCCGCAGAGAACGGGGCACCAGCAGAGGGTGCAGTGGACAAGGTCCTGTCCTCCCTGCAGGCCCCGCCCCTCCCAGAATCCTGGCTCTCAGTAGGGAGCCAGGGAGCCCAGTGACAACCCGTCAGAGCCCCAAGAGCCCAGCACAGCCAGGGAAACCGAGGCCCAGCCCCCTCAGTGGATTCCCTGCAGTGCAGCCACCTAGGCACACACTCTGGGAGGCGGGGCTCGAGTGGGGAGACCCTGAGGCCCGATGCCCTTCCCTGCCCTCCCACCTTCGATGAGCACCCCAGGTGCAATTAGGAGCAGGGGTCTAGCCAGCTGAAGGTCTGACAGCCTTTTAAGGACTACAGTGCCCAGGGTGGGGTCCTGTGGAAGCTGCAGCAGGCAGCTCCTGGGCCTGCAGATGGGGCCAGAACCTTCCTTGGTGTGGAGCCAGGGCAGGAGGTCGAGCCAGGGGGAGTGACCTCCACACAGTAGGGGAGCCAGGCTGACCCAGGGGCCCGGGCTCTGTGCCCAGTGGGAGTGAGGGCTGCATCTGGGGACCCCACATTGTGGATGGGAGCTAAGGCAGGACCCAGGCGGGGCTGGGTCTTCACGTACTCAGGTCTAGCCTTGGAGCCGACCCTGCCTGGGCCTGAGACTCCGCCCAGGGCTTGGGACTGGTGGTGTCAGGAGGGATGGCACTGCACTGCAGCTCCCGTGCCTGGATCTGGGGGTGACTGGCCATAACCCCTCCTTAGTGACCCCCCTCTCCCCAGTACCAACAGCCCACACTCAGGCACTTGCTTGGAACTTTCCCCCGAATTGGGGTCCCACACTGTTGGCCTCCCTGGGCAGTGGGTCGGGGAGAGGAAGGGAGAGGTGACCCCGGTGGCCAGGGGAGGGTGGGTCGGTGCAGTGGCCAGCCCTCCCTGCACAGTCCCCCCAGGGACGCCCCCCTGCACAGCCCCCCCAGGGAACCCCCTTCACAGGCCCTCCCACGGACCTCCCTTGCAGCCCCCCCAGGACCCCCTTGCAGAGCCCTACCCAGGATCCCCCCAGCACAGCCCCCCAGGGACCCCCCTCCACAGCCCCCCCAGGGACAGCGTCTCAGTGGTGCTGGGCCAGCACTTCTTCAACCGCACGACGGATGTGACGCAGACCTTCGGCATTGAGAAGTACATCCCCTACACCCTGTACTCCGTGTTCAACCCCAGTGAGCACGACCTTGGTGAGCTCCAGTGCAACAGGGCTGCATGGTGGGCAGGTGGGCCCTCTGCCCCCCAGGCCAGGCCTGGACAGGGGCAGGAGCTGGGCAGACATGGTGCGGGGAAGTTGGGGGCAAGGCAGGGAGGCCGGGGCACCGATCCCTTCTGGATTTCCAAGGCTGCCTAGTGGGACCCACTGGCCACCTTCCCTCCGTCCCTCATGGCCCCGACAGCCTCCCCTTCAGCCACGCACTTCAGGCTGACCCCGGGCTCTCTCCTGATCAGTCCTGATCCGGCTGAAGAAGAAAGGGGACCGCTGTGCCACCCGCTCACAGTTCGTGCAGCCCATCTGCCTGCCCGAGCCCGGCAGCACCTTCCCTGCTGGACACAAGTGCCAGATCGCAGGCTGGGGCCACTTGGGCGAGGGTGAGCTGGGAGGGTGTGCCCAGCGCCCACCAGGGTGGACAGTGGCTAGCCACAGCGTATGTGTCGGGCTGAGGGCACCGTGTCCCGCAGATGTGAGCAGCTACTCTAGCTCCCTGAGGGAGGCCCTGGTCCCCCTGGTCGCCGACCACAAGTGCAGCAGCCCCGAGGTCTACGGTGCCGACATCAGCCCCAACATGCTCTGCGCTGGCTACTTTGACTGCAAGTCCGATGCCTGCCAGGTGAGCCCCTGTCTGCCCCTCAGGACCCGACTGGGGGTGCTCAGCTGGTCCTGAGACTCCGAGATGCTCACCCCTGGGGATCCCAGAGCCCGACAGTGCCCCACCCTGGCAGGGCCAGCCAGGGACCCCTGGGCAGGGAGTAGACTAGCTGTTAGTGCCAGCCCCTCAGGGACACCTCTTCACACAGATGGGGAGACCGAGGCTCTGAGAAGGGCCTGGTGTCCCACAGAGCCTGGACACATCCCAGCCGTCCAGCCCATGGCGGTGCTGTCCTTGTGACAGCAGACGCTGAAGGCCCCTTTGTCCCTAGTTCTCTCCGGCCATCAATGAGCCCAACAGCCCAAGCACGTCCCGGGCTCCGCAGGCTGGCGCACTCAGGCGGCACGGCAACCTCGCATGCAGCAGCTCTTTTATGCCCCATTTTATACCTGGGGAGACTGAGCCCCAGGCAGCCAATTCACTCTTCCAAGGCCACACAGCCCACAGGTGGTGGTGTGGGTGGGGCTTGCCACTGGATCTTGCTAGGCAAAGTCAGGGTGGCTTCCTGGAGGAGGGGGTGTTTGCACCGGTCCCAAGGGATGTGTAGGAGTTTGCCAGGTAGCGAAGATGTCTTCGCAGGAGGTGTTCAGACACAGGGTGACTATGTGGCCCCCACAGGGTGCGTACTGGTGGGGAGAGGGTCCTGGCTTCAGGAAGGGGTATAATGTGGTTGGATGCCCTGGCTGGCCAGTGCTGTCCCCGAAAAGGATACGCCCTTTCATGAGGTTCAGGAGAGCGCATCAGCTCCCTTGCTCAGAAATGCCTCCATCCTGTGTCCCCGAGCTGCCACTGAGCCAGGCCCCTGGCTGCAGGAGGGTGGCTCTGACCAGCGTCTCCACCCAGGGCGACTCGGGAGGGCCCCTGGCCTGCGAGAAGAACGGCGTGGCCTACCTCTATGGCATCATCAGCTGGGGCGATGGCTGCGGGCGGCTGCACAAGCCAGGGGTCTACACCCGCGTGGCCAACTACGTGGACTGGATCAACGACCGGATCCGGCCTCCCAGGCGGCCCTCGGCTCCCTCCTGAGGCTGCTGAGTGACACCCTGGTTCCCACCGTTCCCTGCCTTGCTGACAATAAAGATATTGCCAAGAACCCGGCCCAAGCTGCCTGGCCCCTGCCCTCGGCCCTGCCTTCCCCTCCGGGCCACGACTTGGGCCTAGGTCTGTGGGTGGTGGGGCTCAGGCTGCGGTCCTGGAGCCTGCACAGTCCTCAGTGGAGATGGAGCCTGTGGCCCCACAGCAGGGTCTGGCCCCAGAGAGTTGCCAGTCATCAGGCTCCAGCAAAGGCCAGGCCCTCCCAGGCCAGCCCCTCCCAGGCCAGCCCCACCCAGGCCAGCCCCTCCCAGGCCAGCCCCTCCCAGGCCAGCCCCACCCAGGCCAGCCCCCTCCCAGGCCAGCCCCACCCAGGCCAGCCCCCTCCCAGGCCAGCCCCACCCAGGCCAGCCCCCTCCCAGGCCAGCCCCACCTAGGCCAGCCCCTCCCAGGCCAGCCCCCTCCCAGGCCAGCCCCACCCAGGCCAGCCCCTCCCAGGCCAGCCCCCTCCCAGGCCAGCCCCTCCCAGGCCAGCCCCCGCCCAGGCCAACCCCACCCAGGCCAACCCCACCCAGGCCAGCCCCTCCCAGGCCAACCCCACCCAGGCCAGCCCCTCCCAGGCCAACCCCACCCAGGCCAGCCCCTCCCAGGCCAGCCCCCTCCCAGGCCAGCCCCTCCCAGGCCAACCCCACCCAGGCCAGCCCCACCCAGGCCAGCCCCACCCAGGCCAACCCCACCCATGCCAGCCCCCACCAGGTCAGCCCCTCCCAAGCCAGCCCCTCTGAAGCCAGCCCCTCCCAGGCCAGCCCCAGCCCAGGCCCAGCACCTGAGTTTTCCTGGGGCAGGAAGCAGAAACCAAGTCCAGGGCCCCTGGAGGGATCCAATCCACGTGGTGCAGGGAGTATTGAGACCCTAAGAAGACAGGCCCCATGGGAGCACCCGCTGGCCATCACTGGGGCAGCCCACCTGGCTGTGCCTCTGCTGCCTTTCCCAGGAGGGAGGAGCCGGGAGGCTCCCTCTGGGGGGCTGGGGAGTGAGGGGCTCACATGCCAGGTGGGACCCAGTTAGAGGGTTACTGCTGGGCTGGCAGAGGCTGTATCCTCCCTCCAGCCAGGCAGGTCAGGACACAGGAGGGCAGAGAGGGTGGGAGTGTGGCCTCCTCCCTGCCCCGAGGCACCCAGGACTTTCTCTCCAGCGCCCCATCTCCTTCCTGGGGTCCTGGTGCAGGGAAGGCCATGGTTCACAGTTACAGCTGCTCCCTTTCATCAGGAGCCCCTTCCTCAGCAGGTTGGTGCCACCCTGGGCTGCACAGGAGCCTGGGAGGGCAGGACACGGGGCATCGAGGGTGCAGTCACTGCCCTACACAAAGCCAGCTTCTGAGCAAAGAGGGAAGAGCGCTGCCACGCGTGGGCCTCAGAGCCCTCAAGCCCACAGAATGACCCGCCACTGGAGACCCCCGACCCTGGGCGGTGGCTGGGGGGCTGAGGCTGGCGCCTGTGCCCCAGGATCCTGAGAGCGGAGCCTCTTCTCCTGAGCGTCGGGCCTCCAGCAGCTGGTTCCGGGGCTCTGAACCGCATGGCTTCCCCCTGACATCCAATGTGAGCCGTCCCTGACCCTTCCCCTGTGAGTTGAACCTTTTCAAATGATTCCTCTACCCCTGTCGAGATAAATGTACACATTTTCTCCCTGGCTCCATTAACGTGATGACTTCCGTGATAGGGTTTCTTTTTGTTTTTGAGACAGGGTCTCACTCTGCCTCCCAGCCTGGAGTGCAGTGGCACAATCTTGGCTCACCACAACCTCCACCTCCAAGGCTCCAGAGTAGCTGGGATTACAGGCGCACGCCACCATGCCTGGCTAATTTTTGTATTTTGAGTAGAGACGGGGTTTCACCATGTTGCCCAGGCTGGTCTTGAACTCTTGAATTCAAATGATCCACCCACCATGACCTCCCGAAGTGCTGGGATTATAGGTGTGAGCCACTGCTCCCAGCCCATGATAGGTTTTCTAATTCAGATTGGCCTTGTGTTTGTGGAGTGGACGGTATGGAGCTGGAGTGCGAGCTGGGGTCTTCCCTTTGCCCCTCACTGTGCCCGGCCTGCTCCCCTCGTGCTCTGGCTGGGGGGCTGGCCTCTGCGGTCTGCAGCGGGCATGCTCTCTTGTTTCTTGCTGGGCACAAGGTCAGAGACAGGACAGAGGGACGAAGCTTGTATTTTCCTGGCTCCCTTTCCTTGGGGTCACCTCAATGTTTTAGGTGGAATTATGTCCTAAAATGCATATGGTGGCTGGGTGCAGTGGCTCACATCTGTAATCCTAGCACTTTGGAAGGCCCAGGTGGGAGTTTAAGACCAGCTTGGGCAACATTAGCCGAGCGTGGTGGCACGCACCTGTAGTCTCAGCTACTCAGGAAGCCAAAGGGGAAGGATCACCGGAGCCCAGGAGGTGGGGGTTGCAGTAGGGCCTTGGTCACGCCACTGCACTCCAGCCTGGGTACAGGGCAGGAGCTGTTAATAAATAAAGAAATAAAGAAATTCATATGTTGAAGTCCTGACCCCAGGATGTGAGTGCATTTGGAGACAGATAGTTCGAAAAGTCAATCAAGGTCAAATGAGGTCATTAGGGTGGACACTACTCAATACCACCGGTGTCCTAAGAAGGAGAGGCAATCTGGACTATCCACATGAAATCATTGAAAGGGCCGGAATCCAGGCCGGGCGCGGCGGCTCACGCCTGCAACCCAGCACTTCAGGAGGCCGAGGCGGGCGGATCACGAGGTCAAGAGATCGAGACCACTCTGGCCAACACGGTGAAACCCTGTCTCTACTAAAAATATGAAAATTACCCGGGCGTGATGGTGCGCACCTGTAATCCCAGCTACTCGGGAGACCGAGGCAGGAGAATTGCTTCAACCCGGGTGGCGGAGGTTTCAGTGAGCCGAGATCACGCCACTGCACTCCAGCCTGGAGACAGGGCAAGACTCCGTCTCAAAAAATACAAAAAGGATCAGAATCCAGTTTAAAAGAATGTATGCAGGCATGAAGCTGAAAATACCCACTTGGGAAACAAACTCCCGAGGATAAGGGCCAGTGCCACAAAGACGAAAGGTTAAGATCTTGCTTATATGGGCAGAAAATAACCACATGGAACAGGACTGCAGTGCTTCCCATACAAGGGTGGTTTATGGGTCCCAGCGATTTGACTAATCACCTCCTGTTTTCTTTTCCTTTTGCAGTTTGAAAGAGTATATGGAACGTTCTGTCTTAGACGAAGTGGCGGCCATGAGGTCTGCGTGAGAGAAGTCGGAGGGGAGCGGATCTGCAGTGAAGATCCCCAGGAAGGGGTCCGCCCTGGTGTCCGACAGTCTGTGACAACGTGTTGCCCGTCACACGCAACTCAGGTCCTTAATCATGTTCCTTGAAGATGCAAAGTAATTTAAAGTTGCAACAGCCTCGGTCTTCAATGGTTTCCTCTTACAGGACGCAGACACGTACAGTGGGAAGGCCACGGGAGGAGCCCGGGGAGAAGATGGCCGTCCACAAACCAGGACCAGAGGCCTGGAGCAGGTGTCCCTTCCTGGCCTCCAATGGAGCCGAGCCTGCTGCCACCTGGGTTTGGACTTGGAGGTGACAAACTTCTGATGTCTAAGGCACCCAATCTGTGGTAGTTTATGAAGTGCCCTCAGGTTGGCTGCACCCTGGGACTGAAGGCCAGAGCTGCTCTCGGGGTGCTCCGGGGTCCACTCCCGCCATTGCCAGCCCCACGCTCCCCGCTCTGGTTGCCCGCAGCTTCGTAAATAAAAGCCTTCCTCCAACTGTCCCGCCGTGGGTGCCCGCCCGTTGGGACCCTGACTGATACATGCTGTACTGGTTTTTTTAAACCTTTTAAAATTTATATTTTATTTATTTATTTTTATTATATTTTATTTAAATAATAAAAATTATATTTATTAACCAATAAAAATATACTTTATATTTAAAATTTATATATAACAAAAAATTAAAAATAAAATAAAATTTATATATAAAATATATGTACAGATACTGAGCCTCAAATCTGCTAAGATTGCCTTGAGTGAGAGTCTTATCTCCTGTAGAGAAAGAGCTGAGATTGGGGAAAGCAGACACTATATAGATACACAATATAATTTTTATATATATTGTATATTATATATAATTTATATTTGATTGGGTTTTAAACCTTTTTAAAATGTATATTTTATTTAGGATTTTGCATGTGTATTTGTGAGACTGGCCTGTAATTTTCCCCTCCTGTACTCTCTGAATGACGCTTGTCAAGGCTACCGCAGACTCAGATAAGCTCAAGAGTACCCCTTCTTTTACCAAAATGCTTTTTTCTAAGGGGGAAAAAAAGAAAAAGAGGGAAAAAGGAATATTACTTCATTCCTAAAATGGGTTTCAATAATGGCCGATCAATATTTTGAGTGTTTAAAGTGGTTAATGCATATTTTATGTGTTTAAAATGGAGACCTCTATTGTGTTTATTTGTTCTGGCTCTGAGTTCAAGTCCTGGATATCGTTATCAATTTTCTGTCTCGTTGAATCTAATTCTCATTATGCGTCTTATGTATCTGGATGTTAAGATCTCTTATTGTTGCATTAATCCTTTTACCCTTGCATCCTTGTAGCTTTGAAATCTATTTTATTAAGTGTGAGAATTGCAACTCCTGCTTTTTATTTATTTATTTTTGCTCTCCATTTGGTTGGTGAGTTTTTTTCCATCCCCTTGTTTTGAGTCTTTGTATATCTTTAGATATATGGTTAGATTTTGTGGATAATGTATATTTTGCGTGTTTAAAATGGAGAGCTCTATTGAGTTTATTTGTTCTGGATCTTAGTTCCAGTCCCGGATATCGTTATCAATTTTCTGTCTCGTTGAATCTAAATCTCATTATGGGTCTTATGTATCTGGGTGTTAAGATCTCTTATTATTACATTAATCCTTTTACCCTTGTATCCTTGTAGCTTTGAAATCTATTTTGTCAAATGTGAAAATTGCAACTCCTGCTTTTTATTTATTTATTTTTGCTCTCCATTTGGTTGGTATGTTTTTTTTTTCCAACCCTTTATTTTGAGTCTATGTATATCTTTGGATATACCGTTAGATTTTGTCTGTATCTTTTGATTGGGAGATTTGGTCGGTTTAAATTTAGGGTTGCTGCCATTTGATATTAACTGGCTATTTTGTCCTTTCATTGATAAAAATTCTTCTTTATGTTAATGCTCTTTACTTTTTGATGTGTTTTTAGAAAGGGTCATACTGGTTGTTCCTTTCTGTGTATAATACTTCTTTTAGAAGTTCTTGTAAAGCAGGCCTGGTGGTAATAAAATCTCTGAGTACTTGCTTGTTCCTAAAAGATTTTATTTTTCCTTCAAATGTAAAGCTTAAATTGGCAGGATATGAAATTCTGGGCTGAAAGTTCTGTTGATTAAGTATATTGAAAATTGGCCCCCACTCTCTTCTAGCTTGTAGGGTTTCCGTTGAGAGATCTGCTGTAAGCCTAATAGGCTTACCTTTATGGGTGACTTGATCTTTCTCTCTGGCTGCCCTTAATATTTTCTCCTTCGTTTCGAACTTGGTGAATCTAACGATTATGTGCCTTGGGGTTGGGCTTCTTGAGGAATATCTTTGTGGTGTTCTCTGTATTGCCTGGGGTTGAATAGTGTCCTGCTTTGCTAAATTAGGAAAATTTTCCTGGATAATGTCCTGGAGAGTATTTTCCAGCTTGAATTCATTCTCTCCGTCACATTCAGGTACACCAATCAAGCGTATATTAGGTCTTTTCACATAGTCCCATATTGCTTGGAGACTTTGCTCATTCCTTTTTATCCTTTTTTCTCTATTCTTGTCTTGTCGTTTTGTTTCATTAAGTTGGTCTTCGACCTCTGATACCCTTTCTTTTGCTTGATCCATTCAGCTGTTTAAGCTTGTACATATTTCACTAAGTTCTCGTGTTGTATTTTTCAACTCCATAAGTTCATTTGTATTCCTCTCTATATTGTCTATTCTTTTCAACATTTCATCTAACCTTTTTTCCAAGTTCTTAGTTTCTTTACATTGGGTTAGAACAAGTTCCTTTAACTCCCAGAAGTTTCTTATCATCCACCTTTTAAAGCCTACTTCAGATAATGGAACACAGTCCTTTTCCATCAGGGCTTGTTCCGTTACTGATGAGTCCTTTTCCATCAGGATTTGTTCTGTTGCTGATGAGTCCTTTTCCATCAGGGCTTGCTCGGTTGCTGATGAGTCCTTTTCCATCAGGGCTTGTTCCATTGCTGATGGGTTCTGATTTTGAGTATACTCGGCCTTCTTAGGCTGTTTTTTTCCCTTCATTGTAGATGAACCGCCTTTCTAATTAGGTTTCTGAGTCGATGTCCGACTTATTGATTCCCAGTGCTGGGATCCGAGCAACCCACTGTGGCAGCCTAAATAGCAGCGGTAAGACTGATGGTGCTCTTCTGCCCGGGAATCTCTGGTCTGGCTTCCCTCTTGAGTCCGCAACAAGCGGCTCTGACTTCCCGGAGCTCCAAACACCGGTCAGTAGGGGAAGCAGTCCCGTTGGCTCTGCATGAAGAGCTGCTGCACCGAGACGCCGGCAAAACCACTGCGGCGGCCACAAGAGTCGCGCTGGCGACCCGTGGGGCTCCTCCACTGGGAATCGGCTGATCGGTGAGTGACGAAAATTCATCTAAAAGTGTGGCGTCATCTCGTTCTCTGGGCTTTCACTGGGAGCTACAATCCTGAGCTGTTAGTGGTCGGCCATCTTGGATCCCTTTTACCAAAATTCACTGAAAAATTCTGTATATAGGTGGAAGGATCTATCCTTTGAAAGTCTGGTGGAATTTGCCCATGAAATTCTCTGTCTCGGTGTTTGCTCTCAGGATTATACTTAACTACTGATCCGATGTCTTCATAGCTATGAGAGTATTATTTCTTGTTGAGCCAGCTGCAGGAAGTTATGCTTTTATGAATATATATATGTCTAACAACGCAGAGTTGTTCCTGGTTGTGTTGGCTAATTCTGAGTGTCACCTTGATGGGACTGAAGGATGTAACGTATTGTTTCTGGGTGTTGCTGGAAGAGATTGACGTTTGAGTCAGGGGACTGGGAGGGGAAGCCCTGCTCTCGGGAGACCCACTGTGATGGCTCATTCTGAGCATCAGCCTGATTGCATGGAAGGATACAGAGTATTGATCCAGGCGTGTCCGTGAGAGTGCTGCCAAGGGGATCAGCATTTGAGTCAGTGGGCTGGGAGAGGCAGACCCACCCTCAATCTGGGTGGGCACCATCTCATCCGCTGCCCGCGTGGCTAGAATATAAGTAGGCAGAAAATCGTGAGAAGAGACACTGGCCTGGCCTCCCAGCCTCCATCCTTCTCCCGTGCTAGACACTTCCTGCCCTCGTACATTGGACTCCCAAGTTCTTCAGTTTTGGGATTTGGACTGGCTTTCTTTGCTCCTCAGCTTGTAGATGGCCTATTGTAGGACCTTGTGATTGTGAGTTGATACTTAATAAACTCCCATATGTGTATATATCCTATTAGTTCTGTCCCTCTAGAGAACCCTAACACAGCTGTTGGCACCAGGAGCGGTTCTAGAGGAACAGAGTATTAAGGAGGGAGTTCTTTTGTCGGTTTCAGGTTTCTGGAGTTGGCCGCTTAATACGATTAGACCCCAGCGTGCGAAGGACTCTACTTCTAATGGTATGGAGAGCACTGATGGTCCTTGGGAGAAACTGTTAGGACGGTTATGCAGGATGAATGTGTCTGGCACTCCCGATTCACCGCTCTTGAGAGCAAGGAGTTCAGGGACTCCACATAACACCTTTGACCACGTGGAGAACCGAGGAACATAATGAAGCTGGTGGTTTCTCCTCAGTTCAGAGGACAAAGGGTGAAAATAAATGATTAACTCGGAGATTCTGACTCCTGGCTTCAGAAGCAGATACTGAGCCTCAAATCTGCTAAGACTGCTCTGAGTGAGAGTCTTATCTCCAGTAGAGAAAGAGCTGAAATTGGGGGAAAACAGACAGAAGCTCTGATGGTGCAAGTGGCTGACCTGCAATGAAAGGTGCACGCACAGCCTCACAGGTGTCTACCGTTAAGGTGAGAGAGGGCATTGACTGGAAAAGGATGGGCCCCTGCAACTTGGAATGGGGACGTGTGGGAGGACCCTGATGAAGCTGGGGATAGGGAGCTCGTAAACTCTGATGAAACCTTTCTGCCAGAAGAAACAGCTTCCCATCCCCAGTAGTGGCAACATCCCCTCCCTGTGACTGGAAAGACATAGGAGTGGAGACTCCCACCACATCCTCACTCAACTCTCCTGTTTGGTCTGTGCAGAAGACAGATGGATCCTGGAGAATGACTGGGTTATCGTAAGCTTCACCAAGTGGTGACTCCAATTGCAGCTGCTGCACCAGATGTGTTTCATTGCTGGAGCAGATTAACACATCTCGTGGCACCTGGTATGCAGCCACTGACTAGGCAAATGCCTTTTTCTCCATTCCTGCCCATCGGGCCCTCCAGAAGCTGGCAAGGCCAGCAATATACCTTTACTGTCCTACCTCAGGGGCAGTATATAAACTCTCCCGCTTTGTGAGCCTCCCCCGTCATCGCCCAATGGGCCCATGAACAAAGTGGCCATGATGGCAGGGATGGAGGTTACGCATGGGCTCAGCAACATGGACCTCCACTCACCAAGGCTGACCTGGCTACGGCCACTGCTGAATGCCCAGTTTACCAACAGCAGAGACCAACACTGAGCCCTCAGTATGGCACCATTCCTCAGGGTGATGAGCCAGCCACCTGGTGGCAGGTTGATTATACTGGACCTCTTCCATCATGGAAAGGGCAGAGGTTTGTCCTCATTGAAATAGACACTTACTCTGGATATGGGTTTGCCTATCCTGCACCCAGTGCTTCTGCCAAGACTACCATCCGTGGACTCAGGGAACGCCTCATCCGCCATCATGATATTCCACACAGCATTGCCTCTGACCGAGGTGCTCATTTTACAGCGAAAGTGCAGCCGTGGGCTCACGCTCCTGGAATTCACTGCGCTTACCATGTTCCCCACCATCCCGAAGCATCTGGATAGAATGGTGGAATGGCCTTTGGAAGTCACAATTACAACGCCAACTAGGTGACAGTACTTTTCAGGGCTGGGGCACAGTTCTCCAGGAGACCGTGTATACTCTGAATCAGCATCCAATATATGATACTGTTTCTCCCATGCCCCGGATTCACGGGTCCAGGAATCAAGGGGTGGAAGTGGAAGTGGCACCACTCGCCATAACCCGTAGGGGCCCACTGGCAAAATTTTTGCCTCCTCTTCCCACGACATTATGTTCTACTGGCCTAGAGGTCTTAGTTCCAGAGGGAGGAACGCTGCCACCAGGAGACACAATGATTCCATTAAGCTGGAAGATTTCCACATGGACACTTTGGGCTCCTCCTTCCTTTAAGTCTACAGGCTAAGAAGGGGGTTACAGTGTTGGCCGGGGTGATCGACCCCGACTATCAAGATGAAATCAGTCTACTACCCCAAAAGGGAGGCAGGGAAGAGTGTGCGTGGAAGACAGGAGCTCCCTTAGGGCACCTCAGCATTCCCATGCCCTGTGATTAAGGCAATGGGACACTACAGCAGCCCAATCCAGGCAGGGCTACAGATGAGCCAGACCCTTCAGGAATGAAGGCTTGGGTGGCTCCACCAGGAAAATATCCACGACCTACTGAGGTGTTTGCTGAAAGCAAAGGGAATGGCGGCGGTGAAGGCAGAGAAGAGGCACATCTTACATGGCGGCAGGCAAGAGAGCGTGTGCAGGGGAGCTGCCCTTCATAAAACCGTCAGATCTCATGAGACTGATTCACTATCATGAGAACAGCACAGGAAAACCCCACCCCCATGATTCCATTACCTCCCACAGGATCCCTCCCACAACACATGGAGATTATGGGGGCTATTAGTATTGATACAATTCAAGATGAGATTTGAGTGGAGAGGCAGCCAAACCATGTCAGGCATCCTATGGGCTGGCCAGAGGTGTTGGTCATCCCTTCCACCCATGCCCTACTGGCCAGAACTCACTCATACAGCCTTACCTGACATGCGTGTGTGTGTGAGGAGGGGGTGGCACTGAGAAACATGGATGTGTGAACAGGTGTGGTGAACACAGGGTACAGCACTGCCATGGTCAGCTGACGTGTTTCTCTCCCGCACACTGGGCCACTTGGGAGGCACAGCAGCCCGCTCCTGGTCCCCGTCATCCTTCTTTCCTTGGAAAACCCAGGATCATTTTGAAAGATGCTCATGGACATCATCTCATTCGGGGGCTCATCACAATATAGGAGCAGAAGAGGAAGCTGAGAGCAGTAAGATCACACGGTGGCCAAAGGTGGTGTGGCTGGTGATGGGCAGGTCCCTTGTCCGCAGAGCCATTGGCCGTGGCAATGCACCATGACCATGGGGTCTGGCAGAGGTGGCAGTGTCCCTGGCCAGCAGCAGCGTAGCAGCCGCAAGGGGGCTCTGGTCAGCCAGGGGTGCAGCTGTGACCTGAGACCGTGGCCTCCTTTGAAGGTGGTGGCCCTGCCCCTCGCTTGGAGCCCAGCTGTGTTGGGGGGCCGGGCTGCAGTGTCCTCCTGCCTCAGGAGGTGACTCTGCTTTCTCTGCCCACCAGCTCTCCCTTGGTTCTTGGAGGCCTGAAATGCTTCCAATCAACCCCTTCCTGCTCAGCAGCCAGCCTATTTGTCCCTTTGCAACCAGTAACCCTGGCTAAGACTTTGGGGAAACGGACTGAGGCACAGAGCAGGGCAGGAGCTTGCTCAGGGTCACAGAGCTCTTGGTCAGTCTGGGAGTGGCAGCCAGGCTACCTTCTCCTCCTGCAGGAAGCTTTCCCCACCTTTCAGCAGCCCTGGGGCGGCATGGAGCAAGGAAGGGAGTTGTCTGCCCTCCTGAGTCCTGTGTGCTCCAGGCTGTGTGGGAGCAGGTGCAGCTGCCAGGCGTGGCAGGAGCCTGGGCTGGGGCCAGCACTCGGGAATGCAGCAGGGCCCTGCCCCTCCCTGCAGGGATGAACAAGTGCCAGGCGCCCAGGGCAGCGGATGTGTCTGTGGCTACAGCCCCAGCCGCCCCCGCCTCCACACCGGCTGTCCTGGCCAGCCCCTTGGGGGCCTGGGATGTGTGGGGAGCATGAATGGGGCTCTGTGGCTCAGCAACTGTTCTGCGGAAGGCGGCTGGGGGCCACGCAGGTGACTGTGGGGGTGGGTGGGGGGTGCAAAGAGCTGCTTTCTGGGCCTGGTGTCCCCAGCCTTGCATGAGGCCGGGGCAAGACGTCTCCGCAGCATCAAAGCCAACCCCTGTGGCCCACCGGAGACCTGCCTCTCAGATCACAGGGGCAGTGGTGAGGGGTGCCCCGGGCTCCTGCCACCTCTGCCCTGAGGTCAGCCGATGTGGCTCAGTGCTGGCTGTGAGGCCCCATGCTGCCCGATTCCGTCTCCTCCTCAGTACGAGGCAGACGGAGCCCAGCCTCGGGTCTGGATGGGATGGAAGAAAGGAAGATGGGTGCTCCCTAACGGCACACTGTCTACCCTCTTCCTCTTCTCCCCCGAGAACTAGCAGCCCTGTGAGGATGGGTCGGGCAGGGCATGTGGACTTGCCTTATTTTCTGTCCCTGTATCTGCTGGGTGTCCCCGACCCCAGGGTGTTGGAGACCGTCCCTCAGATGGGGCTGACACCCAAGGCGAGGACCAGCCGGGTTCCCTAAAAAACACATGGCCCCTCCCCAGAAGAACCTGAGTGTGGTATCTAATGCCCAGGCCAGAGAGCTTCGGGACATCTGGACTGGAGCCACAGGGTCAAGGAGGGGAGCCCAGAAATGCAGAGACCCCGGGGCTGGGAGGGCTGCGGCAGGTCCTTTACAAAGCGGGCAGCTCCTCTGCCAGTTGGAGCCCAGCTGGCCTCAGCAGGTCCGGCTCTTGCCTGGATGTGGGGCAGAAGACATGTAGACCTGGGGCACTAAGGTGGCACAGTGGGTCCTGGACCCGCCCACCTGCACTGGGGTCCCCGCAGCCAAAGGTCTCACCTTTCAATGGGGACAGGAATGGAGGAAGAGACAGAGGCTGCCAGGGGCACCCCACCCCTACCGCCTGCCTAGGGAGGGGTCACCTCTGTGTGGGGGAAGCCTGGGGACTTGGGGCGTCCTAGGCCTGGGCTGCCTGTGGCTGGTCTGTTGTCAGGGTGTCTGCAGGCCGATTTCTGCTGGGTCGTTTTCTTGGCTTTTTGGAAAAGAAGCCCCTGCCTCACCCTCCCCACGCCCCGCCGCCAGGCGCTTCTCTGAGTGAGCCCAGATGGTGCGTTTCTTGCAGAGGGCGGGCAGCTCAGGTGGCCCCAGCGGGACAGTGGGGCCAGGGGGCCCGTGGGGGTGGGGGAGCCGCCGGGATCCGGAGGAGAATGAGCCCCACCCGCCCGCGCCGGCCCTGGAGCCGCTGGTGTCGCCGCCCCGCCCGTGGGCCCGCCCTCCTGGCCCAGCCCAGGGCCCCGGAGCTATTTTGAAAGTGACCCTGGGCTGGGGCGCCGGGGTGAGCGCAGCGGCGCGGAACCATGACAGAAGATGACCGAGGCGGCGCTGGTGGAGGGCCAGGTCAAGCTGCGGGACGGCAAGAAGGTCGGGGCGCGTCGGGGGCGCGGGGTGGGGGGCGCGCGGGCGCGGGCGGCGGCTCACGCTCCCCCCTGTCCCCGCAGTGGAAGAGTAGGTGGCTGGTGCTGCGCAAGCCGTCGCCCGTGGCAGGTGAGCGGGGCGGGCGGGTGGGGGACGAGGGGCGTGGGGGCCTAGTGACCCGGGGCAGTGATGCCAGCTCGCCCGAAATAGCCGCTGCTGCCACGCCGCAGGGAAACCAGAGCCTCGCACGGACCCAGACCCGGTACCCCTGGGAGCGCAGGTGGGGGCCCCAGAGAACCCTCCTTCCAGAAGGGCAGACTGAGGTCCGAGGGGCTGCCTGGCGGCCCTGGAGGCAGAGGGGACCCGCCCTGAGCTCCCCCGCAGAGCAGCAAGGGGCATCCCAGAAGCAAAGCCCCACCTGCCTGAGGGTTGAGCTGTGCCTGTGGGGACGCTCGGAGCAGGGCCCCGGAACCAGCCTCCAGGGGTGCTGTGTGGGTGGCTGCTGACTCCAGGTCCATCCCAGGCAGAGCAGAGGCTGGGCTGAGGCTGAGTAGGGGCTTGGTGACTTACCCACTGCTGGGGGACAGTGCTCTGGGAGGAGACAGGGATCCCCCGCAGTCCTTGTCCTGAGCCAGCACCCCAGCTTGGGGAGGGCCAGTGAGGAGCCCCCAGGTTTGGCAGCCCTGACCGCCTGCAGTGCTGGGCTTGCAGGAAGGGCTGAGCGGGGCCTGCAGCTGCTCCAGGGGACAGGTGCATCGGAGCCAGCCAGCCCGGTCTGGGTGGGATGCTGGACTGCGGCAGGCGTCGGGGGCTGCATGTCACGGGGCTGCCAGGGTGTCCTCCAGCACGGGTGTTGTGGCTTCCAGGAGGGTGTGGGGTGAGGCCTCCTGGGTCCCCTCTGCAGGCTCTGGAGGAAGGTGCTTCCTCCCTGCCTCCGTCTCCCCTGTCAGGGTCCGTGCCGCACCATGGTCACTTCTCCACTCAGCTCTCGGTGCCCAGACCTCTTGCCTGGAGCTGTGGGGGCACCATCAGAACTTGGGAAGGTGTCTGTCCCCTGGGGCTGCAGGGGACCTGGTATAGGAAGGAGTGAGGTCTGGGCAGAGTGAGCAGCCAGGCTGGGGTGGACCAGAGGCTTTGGTCAGCCATGGCTGGGCTGGGGCTGAGGTGGGGCGGGTGAGGCTTGGTGGAAGGTGCTGGGCTGGGGCCGGTGCAGACCCTCCAGAGAGGCCCCGGCCCAGCAAGGCACCTGGGACAGCTGCCCCCAAGAGGAAGGGAGAGGGAGAGGTCTTTGTCCCTCTCGGAGGCTTTTCTTTCTGGATCAGAGTGTCCCAGGAGGCAGGGCCGGCCAGCCTCAAGAGGGTGTGCTCCTGGGGCCTGGTGAGTGTGAGTGGAGGGAGGGGAGTTTGCCTGGGTCCCGGGCAGGACACTCTGTGAGTCTGTAGGTGAACATGGAGGCTCACGAGTGTCAGCTGGGTCACCCCGTCCCCTGCACAGTTGAGATCTACAGCCTGGGAGGCTGGAGCTGGGCTGCCATGGCGGGTGACATGGAGTCGTGGAAGGTGCCCTGTCCCCTCTGGGCGGACGTCCATTCCTAGCCTTTCGGCCAGGTGTCCCCAGCACCCACCAGCTCCCTGTCTTGGGACCCATCGCTCTGGACACCTGCTTTCTGTGTTGGTCACTCCAGCAGCCGGGGCTGAAACTGACACCCTGTGGGGTTGCCGGGAGGTCAGTGAGATTAGGAGACGGGACAGCAGAGTTCTCACGCCCACCTTCCCGCCCCGACCAGGCCAGCCTGGCACCTCCTCTAGGCTCTTCGCCCTGGCCCCTCATGAGCTTCCCTGGATGCCGCCCCCTTTGCCTTCACCCGCCTGCGTTCCCCTTGGGGCTGGAGACCACCTCCCTCGTGGATGGGCCTGGCGTGGGGGGAGCAGCTCCAGCCCTGGACGGACAGCAGAGTCCCATGCTCCCAGTGCGAGGGAGAGAGGAAGGGCCCCTCTGCTTCCCTGTAAGAAATGCAGGATTCTCCTGGTTAGCAGTGGCGATTTCCTCCCGAGAAGGGCCCCGTGCACAGCGTTTCCACCGGCCCCTCGCTCCTCTGTGCGTTTTCCTCTATCGTGAACGCATCTCTCTCTCATGGCAAAGTGTAGTTGGGAATGAAAGGAAACACCTTTTATGAAAGTGCGCCCAGCGGTGCCCGGTGGTGCCCGGTGGTGCCCGGCGTAGCCAGTGCAGTGGGGCCGTCGGCCTCAGGGTGGGGCGGTAGGGTGCCCTGCACTGGGCAGTGTTCCTCAAGGTCTCCACCTCGTCCTGGCTGTGGAAGGGGTGTCTGCCTCCCCGCTCCAGGCAGGGCCCTGGGAAACGAGGGCAGTCTGTCCAGTCGTGGCCAGGGCAGGCTGCTGGGGACCCGCACACCGGCGCCTGGCCCAGCCCCTCTCTGCTTCCTCCCTGGTGCAGCGGCTGGGGTGGCAGGGGGAGTGTTCATCCTCCAGACTCTTGGAGGGACCTGCTTCCCACTTGGGCTGCCCCTGGGGGTTTCATCCAGCTCAGATAAGTCACAGGAGAGGCCCAAGTCCTGGCGCTGGCAGGCTCTTGGAGTTGTCATGGGCGGGGAAGTCGAGGCGCCGAAACCTAAGGGATCCGGCCCAAGACACGGACTGTTGGGCACAGCCCTCTTCCCCCCACCAGTCCGAGCCTTGCCCTCACAGCTGGCCGGAAGTTCCACGCCTGCTCCCATGCTGACCGCTGGCGCCGGCTTAGTCTCCTGCATCCCTGCTCTTGGTTCAAAAGCTGAGTTTCTGGAGGGCAGGGGTCCCCCATGTCTGCATTGCCCTCAAAGGCGGCTTGGTGGGACGGACCTCATCATATGGTCAGGGAGACAGCGCAGTGCCAGACGCTGCCTGGCAGGTGTGAGCCCAGGAGCTGCCCCACGGCTGGTGCTGTGCTGGGGCGCCGCCCTCCGCAGTGGGCAGCTCTGCTAACCAGGGGCTGGGGTGGAAAGTGGGCTGGCTCTTCCTGAGCCGGCCTCGTGGTGGCAGATTTCCTGTGTCTCTGCCTCCTTCCCTAAGGGACTGGGGCTGACATCCCAGCTCTGGGCTGAGGACTGGGCGTGGGCACTGGCCTGGTTCTCCTCTCCTCATGGAAAAGTCGAGAACAGGGTGAGCTTCCCACAGCCCTGAGTCAGTATGGGGAATGGTAGAGCTGGGGTTCGGCTCTCAGCTCCACTTGTGGGCGTGGTGACCTGAGCGGCCCCTGCCTGCGTCCTCAGCCACTGACAGGGGTCTTGTGAGGGCGATGGAGAGGTGGGCATGAGTGTCCAGCCCTGGCATTCGGAGCCTCATCCTGTGCTGCCCTGCTGATGTCTGTGCTCTGGGGGCACCTTCACCACAGCCCCGACACCTGTGCTGGGCAGATGTGCCCTCAGGTGCTTCCTTCCTGGGGCTAGGCACTGGACGCTGGTTCCATGTGTTCTGGCTGTGGCCTGGTCGGTGGCCCCCGCCCTTGCCCCTGCCCAGCTTTGGGGATGGCTCCAGGCTGCTGCACCCCAGCAGGGTCCCCTCAGGCTGCTGCCACCTGCCTGGCTAAGGGCATTGCCTCAAGGTCACTGCGACCTCCACAGGCGACGTCCCACAGCCACTTCTGTGGACTCCCACTGTGGTCCCTGTGGGCTCAGACCCCCCACTTAGTTCCCTGCCCACAGGCGCCCCTGTCTTCCCTGGGCCACCTCGCCTGCAGGCCTGCTCGCTCCGTCTTCCCTGTGTTCTCCCCTCCTCCCTCTCCCTGCCGCCCTCCCCGGCTCTCCCCTGGCTGTGAGGCCTTCCGTGTGCTCATGACTCCACAGTTATTTTTACATCTCCAGCTGCCTGTGTGCATCGCCGCCCAGCGTCTGGTGGCTTCTCAGCCTCCCGAGTCCAGGAAAGACCTCCGACCCCAGCCCCCACCCCAGAAGGGTCCCCAGGCATCCCTCCACCACCCAACTCCAGGTCTCATCCTGGATTGCTCATTTCCCTTAGCCCACGCCTGCCCTCCAGACATCCACCTAGCCTGGGGGGCTGGGGCAGGTGATCGTGCATTGCCGGGTCTGGGGGGCTCAACACCCAGGTCACCACCGTGGCTGCCCTGGCCTCCCGGTTCCCTTTGCTGCAGCCCCGCCTCAGCCTGCAGGGAGCCTCCTGGACAGATGCAGGAGGCGCTGTGGCTTCTGCTGCCGCCCTGCATCCCGTCACACAGCAGCCAAGGTGGGCTGTGACATCCAAGCCAGGCCAGGCCCATTGTGCTCCAAGCCCTTTAGTGCCCCTGGGGCCTCAGAACAAAGCTCTTTTTCTTGATCCCCAGGCCCACGGGTCCCAACCCGCCTATACCTCGGACTACTGCCCCTCCTTCTTGTGTGACCTGGCCCTTCAGTCTCTGAAGAGTCCATGCTGCTCTGTCTCTGGGCCTTTGCACTGGCTATTCCCTCTAACACAATGCTGTTCCCTGTGGGGCTGCTGGGTCAGGTCCTTCTCTCACTCAGGAGTCAGTCAGCTCCCTCCGGGGAGAGCCCCCCATGTGCAGGGAGTCCCCTGCCCCCTGACCTTGGGTCACCTATTCTGGTTGTCTATGGGGCATCTTCCTTGCCTGTTGCTCTGTGTGTGTGTTCCTGCTTGCGGGTCTTTTGTGCGCCTGACCATCTCCCTATCTTGGAGTCAGCTCCACTAGGGCCGGGCTTTGTTCCCTGGGTTCTGAGCTGCTTACAGAGTTCAAGTGCAGTTGGCATTTGCAGAATGAGCTGAGGAGAGGGCCTTGGAGGACCAGGCGAGGCTGGGAAGAAAGCGGAAAGAGTGAGGGGCTCCCGGGGCCCAGCCGGGGTCTCTCAGCACCCTGAAAGGGCCAGCAGGACTCTGCCATGGGCGCCACCTGCCTGATGCGTCTGCCCCACACCTGCATCCCCTGCATACGGCCATGCCCCAGTTCTGGGGACCACCTGGCCTACTTGCTGCTCCAAGTAGGGCAGGAGCTGCTAGAGAGCAGGTGTGGGCTGAGCTGGGGGCTGTGTGGGAGTGTGTCTGTGTGTGCACGTGCGTGTGAGTGCATGTGTCTGTGTGTGTGCATGCCTGTGTGCAAGTGTCTCTGTGTGCAAGTGTCATGAGTACCTGTGTCTGCATGGGGTACATCAGTGTGTGCCTTTCTGTGTGTGTGCTTGTATGAGTGTGTGTCTGCACCTCTCTGTGTGCCTGTATGCCTGTGTGTGTGAATGTGCATGTGTGTGTGTGCATGTATGTGTGTCTCTGTGTGTGCATGCATGATTGCGTGTGTATGTGTGCATGTATGTGTGTGCCTGTGTGCATTATGTGTGCATGTCTGTGGATGTACGTGTGTGCCTGTGTGTGTGCATGTCTGTGTGTTCATGTATCAGTGTGCATGTATGAGTATGTGCATGTGTGTGCGCCTGTGTGTACATATGTGTGCATGTCTGTGTGCCTGTGTGAGTGTGCATGTGTGTGCATCTCTCTGTGTGTGCATGTGGGTGGATGTATGTGTGCCTGTGTGTACATGTATGTGTGTGGATGTATGACTGCCTGTGAGTGTGCATGTGTGTGTGCCTGAGTGTGTGCATGTGTGGATGTATGAATGTGTGCCTGTGAGTGCATGTATGTCTATGCATGTGTTTGTGCATGTCTGTGTGTGTGCAAGTGTATGTGTGTGTGCATGTATGAGTGCCTATGTGTGCAGGTATGTGTGTGTGTGTCTGTGGATGTGTGCCTGGCTGTGCATGTGTGTGCATGTCCGTGTGTATGAGTGTGCACGTGTGTGTGCATGTGTGCCCGTGTGTGAATGTGTGCCTGAGTGTGCATGAGTGTATGCCTGTGTGTGCATGTGTGTGCATGTATGTGTGAGTGTGGATGTGCCTGTATGTGTATGTGTGTATGCATTTATGTGTGCCTGTGTGTATGTATATGTGCCTGAGTGTGGATGTATGTGTGCCTGTGTGAGTGTGCATGTATGTGTGTGTGCATGTATAAATGTGCGCCTGAGTGTGTATGTATGTATGCATGCCTGTGTGTGTGCATGTATGAGTGCCTATGTGTATGAGTGTGTGCCTGTGTGTGTGTGCATGTATGAGGGTGTGTGCATGTGCATGTATGTGCCTGTGTGAGTATGCATATACAAGTGTGTGCATGTCTGTGTGTGCATGTATGTGTGCCTGTGTGTGCCTATGCATGTGTGTGTTCATATGTGTGTGCCTGTGTGAGTGTGCATGTATGCCTGTGAGCATGCATGAGTGTGTGCATATCTGTGTGTGTGCATGTGTATGTACCTGTGTGTGCATGTATGAGGGTGCCTGTGTGCCTGTGTGCATGTATGTGTGTACCTGTGTGCATGAATGAGGGTGTGTGTTCCTGTGTGTGTGCATGTATGAAGGTGTGTGCATGTATGAGTGTGCATGTGCCTCTGTGTGTGCATGTATGAGGGTGTGTGTGCCTGTGTGAGTGCATGTATGTGTGTGTGTGAGCATGCATGAGTGTGCATGTGCCTGTGTGTGTGATGTATGGGTGTGCATGTGCCTCTGTGTGTGTGCATGTGAGGGTGTGTGTGTGCCTGTGTGTGTGATGTATGAGTGTGCATGTGCTTGTGTCATTGTGCATGTATAAGGGTGTGTCTGTGTGTGTGCATGTATGAGGTGTGTATGCCTGTGTGTGCATGTATGAGTGTGCATGTGCCTGTGTGTGATGTATGAGTGTGCATGTGTCTGTATGTGTGTGCATGTGCCTGTGTGATGTATGAGTGTGCATGTGCCTGTGTGTGCATGTCTGAGGGTGTGTGTGATGTATGAGTGTGCATGTGCTTGTGCCAGTGTGCAGGTATAAGGGTGTGTCTGTGTGTGTGCATGTAGGAGGTGTGTGTGCCTATGTGTGTGCATGTATGAGTGTGCATGTGCCTATGTGTGCATGTATCAGGGTGTGTGTACCTGTGTGTGCATGAGTGTGCATGTCTGTGTGTGTGCATGTGCCTGTATATGTGTGCATGTGAGGGTGCGTGTGCACCTGTGTGTGCATGTATGAGTGTGCATGTGCCTGTGTGTGATGTATGAGTGTGCATGTGCCTGTGTGTGTTGTATGAGTGTGAATGTGCCTGTGTGTGATGTATAAGTGTGCATGTGCCTCTGTGTGTGTGCATGTGCCTGTGTGTGAGCATGCATGTATGAGTGTGCATGTGCCTGTGTGTGTGAATGTGAGTGTGCATGTGCCTCTGTGTGTGTGCATGTATGAGGGTGTGTGTGACTGTGTGTGCATGTATGAATGTGTGCCTGTGTGTGTGTGCATGTATGAGTGTGCATGTGCCTGTGTGAGTGTGCATGTATGAGGGTGTGTGTGTGCCCGCTTGCTCCCCGTGGGTCTCCATGCCTTGGTTGGCCTCTCCTGGTGCCTCCTCATCTGTCTCCTTTCACCATCATGACCTGGTGTCCTCCACCCAGCCCTGTGCTGCCTGCCAGAGTCCCCAGTCCCTCCAGGTCCTGTAAAAGCCTTCCAAGGCACAGGGTGCAGAGCAGCTGGAGGTGGGTGGGTGGGGCCGATGGCCCTTCCTCAGCAAGAGACAGTGCGTGCCCCTTGCTGAGCACTGAGGAGGGCCACGCTCCCTCCGAGGTTCCCAGAGAGGCTCCTTCCTGCCTCTCCAGCTCCTGCTGGCCACAGGCATTCCTTGGCTGTGGCCGCAGAGCTCCAGTCCCTGCCTCCAGCCCATTCAGGTGATGGTCTTCCCTATGTCTGCGCCTCCTGTTCTGTGTCTCACACGGACACTTCCTGCTGGGTTCGGGGCCCACCAGACAGTCCAGGATCCTGACCCTGATTACATGTGCAGAGACTCTGTTCCCAAATAAGGACATACAGGTTCTGGGGTCAGGAGTGGACATGTCTGGCTGGGGGCCACGCTTAGCCCCTGCATGTAAGCCCTCCTGACGTTCTCAAGATGCAGGGCGTGTCTCCAGAAAGATCAGAGAGGCCGAGGGGGGACGGCTGTGAATCAGAGAAAGGTCTGAGGGTGGAGCATGGGGTCAGCATGTGTCCTGCCACCTGCAAGACATCCCGGGTGGGCCCAGCTGGCTTGTGTTGCTGACATGAGGACAGTGTGAGAAGCTGTCGTGGCAAATTCAGCCCTCGGCCAGGAGTCGCCCACTGTGGTCTCTGGGCCAAATCCTGCGGGAACCTGATTTTGTAAATACAGTTTGGCTGGCTCGTGGCCATTCCTGCACACGTCACCTGCGGCTGCTTCCAGCTAAGTATCAGACGGAGACTAAGCCCCGCAAAGCCAAAAAGGTGATGTCAGACTCTTTATAGGCAAGCCCGTGACCCCAGTCCTGAATGAGCTGCAGGCAGGGACAACGCAGGGACTGGGTGCCAACAGGTGGAAGAGCAGCCGCAGAACTTTCACGGCGAGTTCCAGCTACGCCTCTGGGTTGGAGTTCCGTTTCTGGGCCGGTGTCTTGCTTCCTGTCTCAAAATTTCCAGAGGGGCTGGGACAGGGTCTGGAAAGCCTTGGCTGGGCAGGGCAAGGGGCTTCTTTCTCAAATTGGGAATGCCCAGCTTTTTCCTAGCTGTAAGCGTGCCAGGCACTGCGGACAGAGTCTCCGATGGGAAACGAAGTCCCTGGCCCTGAGCCCACACCGCGCCTGGCTTTTGTGAATAAAGTTTCACTGTCCTGCGGCTGCACCCATGGGTGCTCACATGGTCTGAGGCTGCTTTCACACAGCCAGGGTGGCGACATCAAGTAGTGGCCACAGAGCCCGTGTGGCCCTAAAAGGTGCCCTGCCTGTCCTCTGGCCCCTTGCAGAAGGAGTTTGCTGACCACTGGCCCCGAGGCCACACAGGCCCCCCGGCTCCATGGGCTGCCACCCTGTGGCCTGGGGGTGGGCATGACACAGGAGGGAGGCTGAGCACCATGTCTGCTCTGGGCTCCGCTGCAGTAGTGAGTGTCTGAGTCAAGTTCATTTGGGGTTTTGTTCTCACTTGGGTTTTTCAGAGCGTCAGAGGGACATGTCATTCTGCAATCCTCTTTGGGAACATTCTCCCCCATCCCCTCCTGTGTGTGCACAGGGATTTGGGGTGTTTGCATGAAGTCCCAGAACCTACTCCTCACTGAAGCCGGGTGCCCAGCTTCCGGGCCTTGGTGGGAGGCGGCCTGGCTGTCAAGCCTGGACTCGTGCCAGGAGGGCCGGGAGTCTTCCTGCGCCGTCCTCTCTGCTCTCTCGGGCAGACCTGCTGCACCTGCCGTTCACAGGTGTGTCCAGGTGCTTCTCCAAAGGCCACACGGGGGCTGTGCTGTGATGGGTTTGAGTTGCACCTGGCAGAGTGGATGGTACGCACTGGTTGTTTGTAGTGACAGTGACATTGGAAAATGGGAATGTGGGGGTGGGGACGGGGACCCGAGTGACCCTCGAGGGCCCAGGACGCAGAACACAGGCAGGTCCCCAGCAGCTGAGGAAGATGCCAGGGCCTGCCATGCTGGGCAGTGGTGGGTGAATGGGGGTGGGACCCAAGGCCCCGCAACCTCCCCACTTTCTGGGGCTGAAGCTCAGCCACACCCTGGAACTAAAGGAACCAGGAGGGGCAGTGGGTCCAGAGGCAGCAGGGAGCTGGCACAGGCAAGACTGGCAGGGTGGCAGGGACAGGGTGGGTGGCCACAGCCATGGGGTAGGTACCATGCGAGGCCCCGGAGCCCCTGGCCACAGCTCCTATAGCCCTCAGTGTGGTCCAGGGGCTGTAGGACCTGAGGCAGGGCGAGTATGCTGGCTAGGGTCCAGAACCCAGTCATGGGACCAGCATCAGGGGCCGGGTGCAGCCACAAATGTTCTGGGACTATTTCTGCCCTGGCGGCCTGTGGGTCTCACAGAGGGAGGGGATCACCCCATTTTGTATGCCAGGAGATGAGGCCTGGGCATGGCTGGGGGAGGGCATCGCCCTGTTTTGTATGCCAGGAGATGAGGCCTAGGCATGACTGAGCGGCTTGCTTAGGGTCATGCCCCCAGCCTGAGTCTCTGCACTGTCACGGCCTCCCTGCGGACGCCGAGGACGCGGGCAGGCGGTGCTGGCTGGCATCCCTGACGGCCGCGCTCCCTGCAGACTGCCTGCTGATGCTGGCCTACAAGGACAAGTCGGAGCGTGCCAAGGGCCTGCGGGAGCGAAGCAGCCTGACGCTGGAGGACATCTGTGGGCTGGAGCCAGGCCTGCCCTACGAGGGCCTGGCCCACACGTTGGCCATCGTCTGCCTGTCCCAGGCTGTCATGCTGGGCTTCGACAGCCACGAGGCCATGTGTGCATGGGACGCCCGGATCCGCTACGCGCTCGGCGAGGGTGAGTGATAGGGCCGGGGCCAGGTGGCTGGGGAAGGGGGACTTCTTGCTTTAGCCTGGGGCCCCTCACAAACATGGGCCACAGAAGTGGAAGCAGCTCTAGGGACTGGTGCAGGAGGATGGGACCTTCATGGACGCCTTAGGGGGGGCTGAGCTCTAGTCTGGGGGTGCCCACGAGGGTTTGGGAGGGGAGTCTGCTGGCTGTGGTGTCTTTAGAGCTCCCTGGCCTGACCTTTGGTTACCCCTGGAGCATGTAACCCGGGCTGGTGGCCTCCCAAAGCCCTGCCTTTTGCTTCCCACACTGGACAGTGGAGCTCAGAGCCTGGGTAGGGAGGAGAGCCCTAGGCTGGGCCATCCTACCCCAGCTTCCCCCACATAAGAGCAGAGGCAGGAGAGGGCCTGGAGGGGAGGGAGAGAGCAGGGCAGGGAGTGCTGTGGGGGGAGCTGGCCCTGGAAGAGCTGAAACCTTAGTCCCAGCCCTGCAGGGGCTGCAGATGGGTGCGTGGGGGCCTCTGGGGCAGAGCAAGCATAACCCTGTGTCTCCTAAGAGACCAAAATCAGTGCCAAACACCCGTAGTGAGCAAAACAGTAAAATGTCAACCAAGTAGAGTCCTGACCCTACACTGAGGTGTCCGCCCCACGATCCCAGCGCCGCCACTGCCTCACTTTAAATGCTGCCATTTTAGGCCAGGTGCTGTGGCTCGCATCTGTCATCCTAGCACTTTGGGAGGCTGAGGTGGGTGGATCACCTGAGTCCAGCAGATAGAGACCAGCCTGGGCAACGTGGCGAAACCCCGTCTCTACTAAAACTACAAAATAATGGCTGGGTGTGGTGGCTGATGGGTGCAACCCCAGCACTTTGGGAGGTCAAGGCGGGCAAGTCACCTCTGGGACCTGCTTGCCCCTGAACAAAGATAGTTTCTGGGAGGATGGGGTGGGGAGGAGGCCAGTGCAGCCCCCAGGCCAGTGTAGCCCCCAGGCCAATGCAGCCCCCCAGGCCAGTGCAGCCCCCCAGGCCAGTGTAGCCCCCAGGCCAGTGCAGCCCCCAGGCCAGTGCAGCCCCCCAGACGGGTGCAGCCCCCAGGCCAGTGTAGCCCCCAGGCCAATGCAGCCCCCCAGGCCAGTGCAGCCCCCCAGACGGGTGCAGCCCCCAGGCCAGTGTAGCCCCCAGGCCAATGCAGCCCCCCAGGCCAGTGCAGCCCCCCAGACGGGTGCAGCCCCCAGGCCAGTGCAGCCCCCCAGGCCAGGGCAGCTGTGACAAGTGCCATTTGCTCATCCTGCCGTTGCTGGCTCCTGGCTCACCCCTGGGCAGCTGCCCCTGCCCGACCCTGGTCCCCCGCCTACCTCCATTTGGCCCCTGCTCCTGCCCACCCCGGTCTGGGCCCTGCCCCCCGGCCTGGCCATTGCCCCTGCTGCCTCCTCTGTGATGCCCTCCCGCCCTGCCCGCCCACAGTGCACAGGTTCCATGTGACGGTGGCTCCAGGCACCAAGCTGGAGAGTGGCCCAGCCACCCTGCACCTCTGCAATGACGTCCTCGTCTTGGCCAAGGACATCCCACCAGCTGTCTCGGGGCAGTGGAAGCTGTCTGACCTCCGGCGCTACGGGGCCGTGCCAAATGGATTCATCTTTGAAGGCGGGACCAGGTGTGGGTACTGTAAGTACGGGTGCGTGGGGCCACTGGGCAGCGGCGGCTTGGGCGCTCCCCACTTGCCCTGAGAGCTGCTGGTATCTGGCTGGCAGACCCCAGGTGCAGGCTGGCCTGCTGGCATTTTCAGAACGCCCCGGCAGGGGGACAGTGTCTTCCCACACTCGGTGTCCGAGGTCCTCCGCCCCAGGAAGCTTAGTGTGGAGCGCTGAGTCTGGGCCTCTGCTCTTCCTCACTGGAGGGAGAGGGCTGCGGGAGGGGGAGGAGCCCGGGGTCACAGAGCCTCAGGGCCGCTCTTGGCCAGATCTCATGAAAAGCAAAAAACAAAGAAGAAATGCATTTAGCGCAGAGTGTGAGCCCCCGCGTGAGCGCCCACGGAGACGTCCCTGGGCCAAGAATTCCTTGTGGACCTGCCAGCTACCCGTCCTGTGGGCCGCCCAGAGCTGCCCTCATGTCCCCAGTGAGGTGGCCAGGCCATGGGTGGGAATGGCCTGAATCCTTTGCATGTGTGACGGCCTCACAGTCCCCCCTCCCAGCCCACCATGGCCAGGGGAGTGAGGGAAATGGGAGCAGGAAGGCCCCTGGCCGTCTCCAGGGTGCTGCAGGAGCTGGGGTGTTCCGGTGATCCCTCCCACTTTCTCCTGTGTTGAGTGCAGACACGCCAGCCCGGCCTGTGGACCTGCAGTCCCCTCGGAGGGCATGATGCCTCCTCTCTTCTCTCTGGAGGGGCAGCTGCTCATCTGCTGGGGTGGAGAGGGGAGAGGGGCCTCCTGGGGGCCTGGCATGGGGCTGAGAGGGCCGAGGGACTGCATGAGGCTCATGCTGGCCGGGGCTCTGGGGGCGTCCAGATGTGTCTGGCTAGAGCAATCGCAGGCAAGGACACGGCCATGCTGGCCACCTGTGCCCTCGTCCTGCAAAGGCCAGCTGGGGAGCAGACCCAACCCCATCTGTGAGCTGTGTTCTGCCACCTTCTGCGCTGGGCCCTGGGGACAAACCCAGTGGGTCTCGCTGCAGGAGCCAGCCCTGTCGGGGCCTTTGAGGAGGCGATGTCTGACCCTGAAGAGGGGCAGGGCGCCTGGCACAGGCTCCACCGAGGCAGGCGGTGCACAGCCAGCTGCAGGGGGTTCTCGGGGTGGAGCTGGCCTGGAGGCTCGGTCTCTGGGGCTGTCAGGTCCACAGCCAGAGTCCAAAGGGCCTAGACCCCTCTGGGGTTTGTGAGCCACTGTGGATGCGCAGGACTGCTGCCCATGCCAGCTGTGGGCTGGTTCGGAGGGGTTGGTTCCCAGGAGAGTGACACCTGTCGGGGTCCCATCTGCTGGACGGTCCCCCGGGCCGGAGGTTCAGCACGGGGCTTCAGGAGTGAAGCCTGGGGTGTCTGTCGTCTGTCGCATGGGAAGCAGGAGCTGCAGTCTGCAGTTCTGCATGGGCAACCTGTCTCGGCTGTGTTGTGCTAGGTTTGGGGGTCCCTGCAGGATGGGGACCCATACCCTCCTCTCTGTCTGTGGAACTCCTTGGCAAGGGCGGGTAGCTGGCTGGGGTGGCACTGTGAGCTCACCCTCTAAGCCGGGGCACGGCAGGAAGACCCGTTTCCTTGGAGACCTGTTTATTTTGTCTGGGCCGTAATGGAATGGAGTTACGGAATGTTTTTCCACGGAGGCCTTGGAGGTTCACGTGTCTGCCGGACTGTGGGTGGCTCCTCTGCCACTGGTAAACAATCCAGCGCCTGCAGCTGCGCTTTTCCCCAGGGCGAGGCTGCCGTGATGTCTTCCTGCGCTGCCCAAAAGCCAGGGTGGGCTCTCGCAGGGCGTCTGCTGCCTCTCCAGGGCAAGCTGTCAGAGCAGCCCCCTCCGCAAACCCACAAACCAGGCTGGCCCCGCAGAACCCGAAAACCCACAAACTGGATTGTCCCCACAGAACCCGAAAACGGGGCTAGCCCTGCGGAACCTGCCTCTGCAGCTCAGTGCTGAATGTTCTCGTCCCCTGTGGGGCCCTGGGACAGGAAGGGCTCTGGGAATTTTGTCACCGACGGCCATACACCCTGTAGGGCAGGTGTGCTCTGGAGGCCAGGCTGGAAGGCTTGACCCAGCCGCCCATCCCTTCCCCCGGCAGGCCCTTCGGGGCTCCGTCCTCCCGGAGACAGGTGTGGCCCCCACCCTGGCTGGTTTAAGCTGGATCTTAGGCTCGGCCAAGCGATGGTGTTCTGGACACAGCGCTGAGTGCAGGCTGTATGGCAGGAGGGACCAGGCGTCTGTGGCACGTGTGGGCAGCCTGGGCCTCCTGTGGGAGGGAGCGGCAGCTGGGGTGGTCCAGGGGCAGCAGCATCAGCTTCCTGGGGCTTCTTGACCCCCAAGAGAGGGCTGAGGGTCCAGAGTGGATTCCTTCCACAACCCAGAGGCTGGGGTCTGCAAGGTCTCCTTCTTCCAAAAGCTCTTGAGGAGGACCCAGGAGAGGGTCCTTCCCGCCCCTTCCAGCCACTGGTGGCCCTGGCGACCTCGGGTCTCGGCTGCGTTCTCGGCTCTGTGCCTGCTGGCTCCTGCCTGTGCCTCCTCTTGTCTCTTGCAGTCCCTGGACTTAGGGCCCACCTGGATGACCCAAGATGACCTCACCAGAGAGCCTCAATGCCATCACAGAGACCCCTGTTCACAGATCCTGGAATGAAAACACATTTTCTAGGCCACCATTTGGCCCACCACTGGGGCCACCAGGGTGGAGAAAGATCCAGAATCTGGATCCCAATGAGTCTGTGGGCCTCATCACTTTCCATCTGGAGGTTGCAGCAGGGCTGGAGCTGTGGGAAGGCCCTGGAAGGTCCTGGGTGTAGGAAATTTACACTCCCTCCTTCCCCAGGGACAGGTCCCAGCCTGGCCCCCCGGTCCCCAGAACCACCTCAGTTGGCCCCACCGCAGCCAGCTCTGCAGACAGCAGAGAGGCCGCCCCGGCTCAAGGCGACGCCTCACTCTTCCTGAGGCGCTGGGCATGGCTGCGCATCCCTGGTGCCCTGGTGAGGGTTGGGTGGAGACAGGTCTGGCTGGGTGTGGCCCTGAGGGCGGGGGTTCTCTCTGTGGACTGCTGCCTGTTCAGAATGGGACAGGAGGTGGCTTAGTGACAGTGACCCTGGGTCCCCAGTGTGGCCCACTTCCCTGGGTCTCTGTTGGTCATGGGCCTGTAGTGTGGGCTACGGGAGCTTGGCCTGAGTGCACTTGGCACGTGGCAGGCAATGGTCTGTGGACAGCTCGGGCCTGCAGGCTCCAGCCTCACACACTGGCGAGTGACTGGGCCCTGCCCACAGGGGCTTGCTGGTGCATGGTGGAAAGCAAAGGAGAGACGGGCACTCACCCTGGACAGGCTCAGCCTGCAGCACAGAGGAGGGCGCCGGAGAGGCTCAGCCCATGTGGAGTCCAGGAAGGGAAGGCTTTGGAGGCGCAGCGGACGCTTGAGCTGGGCCTGGAGGGCGAATGGAAGCTTCTAGAGTGCCCCTTTTTCCCCCTTACCCGTTCTCTCCAGCTGCTTCCAGTCCAGGGAGCACATCTGCCTCTTCACCCAGCCTCTGGGGGCCACAGGGAGCGTTTTAAAACCATTTTGACTTTTAAAAATGAGTAAAGGATGTGTCTGGGTGTGGCAGCTCACACCTGTAATCCCAGCACTTAGGGAGGCTGAGGCGGGCGAGTCACCTGGGGTCAGGAGTTCAAGACCAGCCTGGCCAACATGGTGGAATCCCGTCTCTGCTGAAAATACAAACATTAGCCTGGTGTGGTGGCGCACACCTATAATCCCTGAGGTGGGACGATCGCTTGAACCTGGGAGTCAGAGGTGGCAGTGAGCCGAGATCCCGTCATTTCACACCAGCCAGGGCAACGGAGCCAGACTCCATCTCAAAAAAAAAAAAAAAAAAAAAAAAAAAAAAAAAAAATGAAAACCGCAACTAGGAGGCTCTTGCTGCGTCTGTCCAGCTCTGGAGCGCCCCCTGCCGGCTGCCGTTGGCCACTGCACCCCGGCGCAGGTCCCTGAGCTGGGACAGCAGGGAGGGCCTTCCCTGGGTTCTCCTGGCAAGTGCTGGGCCTAGGATCAGAGGGCCAGGCCTCAGGGCCCGCAAGAGTCGGAATGAGGCATTTTCAGTCCTTGGAGGGTGTGGGGGAACCAGGAGGGGCGCAGACCCCAGGCTGGAGCATCGAGGGAAGCTCTCTAGAGGAGTGAGCCTCATGTGGTTTCTGCAGGGTGAACAGGAGTTAGCTCAGCTGTGAAGACATCTTTGAGCACCAATGGGTGCCCGAAAGGCATGTGTGGGAACCCTGTTAAGTGGGGATGGGGGGCATGGGGGTGGAGGAGGAAGAGGAGGCAGGGCTGGGTTGCAAAGAGTTGGCTAATTGGACCGCCACTGTCTCGAAGTAGCAGGGAGCCATTGAAGGTGTTTGAGCAGGGGAGTGTTTCATATGCTACTGTCGACCCCACGGTGCATTTTGGCGTGGAGGAATAGGCTGACAGGGGCCAGAGAAGGTTCTGGTTGTGGTCCAGACGGCAGAGGGTGAGGCTGACCCCAGGCAACAGCTGCCCGGTTGGTGGATGGGGGGGACGATGCTGTGGATTCCAGGAATGTTAACCAGGTGGTGATTGACAAGGGAGGAGGGGTGGCCCAGGAGGAGTGCCTTCTAGAGCTGTGCCCCTGGGTGTGGGGCGGCTGTGGCCAGCGTCCAGCGCAAAGGCCCTCCCTGCCTTGGTGGCGAGGGGAGGGCCATCCAGGAACTGGGGTCCTGATCCTGCAGGTCTCCAGGAGTAGACCCTACGTTTAATCTGCTTTGTTGACTCAAGTCTCTGGGTCTAGGGTCACTTTTCACATTTCCAAGAGGTCTGTTATTTCCTTCCCCTGCCTGGAAGTTTCCACCAGGCCGAGTTCCTCTGTGGCCCACTTAATGGGGGCCCAGGCTGGCCCTGGCAGCTCCTGGGAGCCGGCCTTTTGGGGATCCCCTGTGGGTCTCAGTGCTCCGCTGTCTTAGTGCATTGCCCTGGCCCCTGCCATGAGGTGTCCTGCTATCCCCGTTTTACAGGGGAGGAAACTTAGGCATGAAGACATCTGCCTGCCCTGCCGTTCCTGAGGCCCGTGCTCCGTGGCTGTGACCTGGCCCAGCCACGGCCACTCCTGTGTTACACACTGCCTGAGACTGAACCTGGGGTCCGAGGGAGGGGGTCCCGGATGCTGCTTCCTTCCTCCCTCGTGTCACCAGAGGCCAGGCCTTCTACCCCCAGCTGCTGTTGGCAGGGCCAGCAGCAAGGCGGTGTCCAGGGGCAGGAGCAGCTGTAATGCTCCACGCTGGCCAGCCATGGGCAGCCCCACCACACCTCCTCCTGGGGCACGTTCACTCTAGTCTGTTTCCTGGGCAGAAAAGCAGCCCAGGGCTGCGTGGCCTCTGGAACGTGGGACCAGCCCCACAGGGAGCCTCATCCCATACCTCCAGACACGAGGATGTGAGTTCCTGGACCTCAGAGTGCTGGGGTTTCCAGGGCACTGCAGGGCTGAACTGCGCCTTTCCCATCCCTGACTGGGGCTCACAACTCCCTGAGCTCTGTTTCTTCATCTGCATGGTGGGGACCCTGAGTCCCTTCTACAGGATGCTGTGGCTGTGTGTGCCAAAAGTGGCCAGGCTCCTGGTCTTGTCCCCATTGTCTCCACAAGGCTCCCTGGGCAGGACTGACAAGTCTGGATAACAAGACCTTCAGCCCTCTTATCCCCCAGGGCCCCGCCTCCTGCCCCCCAGGCACCCCCACCCCCTAGGAATCCCCTTCCCACACCCCCAGGATACCCCTCCCGCCCCCTAGGGCACTCCCTTCCCCCAGGGCACTCCCTCCCAGCCCCCCAGGGCACCCCCTCCCGCCTCCCAGGTATCCCCCTTCCGCCCCCCAGGGAGCTCCCTCCCGCCCTCCAGGGCTCTCCCTCTCACCCCTCAGGGCTCCCCATCCCACCCCCAGGGCTTCCCCTCCCACCCCCTAGGACTCCCCCTCCCCCCCCCCAGGTGCCCCTGCTCCGGAGCAGCTTGGCAGTCTCTTGTGCCCTTGGGAGTGGCTCTGGCCCCACCTGGAGGGTCTTGGGCCAAGGGGAGCCTGGAGGCTGGGAGTGGGTGTCGGCTCTCAGCCCTCCCCTGCCCTCCTTAAGCAGCCCTGTGTGCCTGTGGGGACTCAGAGGGTGCCCCACACCTCCCTGTTGGGGGCTGAGCTATCCAGGACACCCTGGACAGGCTGGCAGCAGGACCCTTGCTGGCCCTTTGGGAGATGCAGAGAAAAGTACAACCCAGGCCTGCCTTGGAGCAGTCCTTGTCCTGTGCAGGCTGTGCCCGGGTGGGTAAGCGCCCACTGACACTGCAAGAGGGGCCGGTGGCAGAGGGAGGAAGGCAGGTCGTGGTGGAGTGGCCTCTGCTGGGCCTTGCAGGGGGGGCAACGTGTCTACCCTGGGGAAGTTGTGACCAGCCCGCTGCTCTGGGTGGAGCCTGGGGACATGGTGACTTTCTCTTTGGGAGGCCTTGTCTTTGGCTGGCACTGCTATACTCTGCTCAGGAAGCTGTGGGGTCAGTGCTGGGGCTGCTGCACCCCTAAGGCATTTTGAAGTATGTGTGTGTGTGCATGCGTGTGCGTGCATGTGAGTGCGCCTTTGTGTGAGTGTGCATGTGTATGTGCCTGTGTGCATGTGTGCACTCGTGTGTCCATGTGCCTGTGCGTGTGTGCCTGCATGCATGTGAGTGCGCCTTTGTGGGAGTGTGCATGTGTGTGTGCCTGTGTGCACGTGCGTGTGTGTGCATGTGCCTGTGCGTGTGCATGTATGTGGGCAGGATTCCTTGTCACAGTGACTGCGGGATGCACTTGACCTGCAGAGAGGTGGCTGCAGGGACACTGACACTCTGCTTTGCACAGCTCTGTCCTGCCCCGATGGTGGCCCGTGAAAGGCACAGGCTGGAGAGGGTGAGGGAGGCGTGGCTGCCCCATGCATTTGTGCTGTCAGGCAGTCCTCACTGCCATCCCTCCACAGAACATTCTCATCCTCCCAGGCTGAGGCTCTGCTCCCATTAAACACCCCCCCAGCCCCTGGCACCCCCACTCGAGTTCCTGTCTCTGTGAGTTGGACAACCTCATGTGAGTGGGGTCACACAGGGTCTGCTCCTCTGTGACAGGCTTGTTTTACTGACACAGTGTCCTTGAGGTTCCTCAAGCTTGTGGCCCATGTCAGAACTGCCTCCTTCTCCAGGTGGCACCCAGATCCACTGAGGGGCGGCCATGTGCCTGCGCATTCCTCCGTGGAGGGACACGTGGCCTCTGCCTTGCTGCCTTTCAGCTGCAGAGAATCGGGCTCCCACGTGTCTGTGTGGGTGCTGCTTTCAGTCCTTCGGAAGGACACCTAGAAGCGGATTGCCAGGTCATGTGGGAATTCTGTGTAATGTTGAGCAACTGCCAGACTTCCGCAGCAACTGCCCCCGTCACTTTCCCACCAGCCACGGGCAAGGTTCCCACCTCTTCTGAAACTTGGCATTTTCTGTTTTGTTTTTTGTCTTTGTCTTTTTTTTTTTTTTTTTTTTTGGTTGTTTTGATAATTGTCATTCCAGTGGGCATGAAGTGGTCAGATGAAATTTAAAACTCAATTTTGAATATGAACGTGTTTCACTGAACTTTGCTTCTAAGAAAATCAGGGCAGAGAAAAGTGAAATTCTAATTAGTGGACATTTTACTCTGCTAGAAAACCCTGAGCAGAATAACCTCCCCGGGGCTTGGTGAGCTGGGCCAACTTTCTGATTCAAAGCATAAGCCAGGCAGGTCAGTGCTGCCTGCACAGAGCTTTCTAGAATCTTCTCAGACGCTTCCAGTGTGTGATCTTCGTCAACAAGGGGTGACACATTGATGTTTCTTCTCTGAGGAGCTGAGATTCTGAGCACTTAATGACATCCGGGTGCACCTGCTAGGGTACCCAAGATTATTGCAACAGAAATTGCCTTAGGTCGAATTGGCCCGCTGGGTGTCTGCATGGAGGAGCGTTTTCTCTGTCGAGCCGCTGAGTCCTGGGCTTGAGTGCAACAGCTTTTTCACTGGAGGTGTGTTACTTAGGAATCAGGTGCGTCTGGAACACGGCTGAGGTTCACCTGCAGCTCAGCGACCTCTGACCAGAGTGGGGGCTGCCCTAAGCCTCGCAGGCCCTGGCCTTCTGCTTCCGTCCTGCCTGCCTCTGTGCTGCATCTCTGCGTCTCCCACGCTGTTTCCTGCGGTGTGACAAACAGTCTGGAACCTGGTGGCCGCTCCCTGGCTGGCCATCCCGTGGGTCAGGGATCTGGACGGGGTGCAGTGGGGACAGCTCATATCTGCTCATGAGGTGCTGCTGGGGGTCCCCTGGGCGGTGTTGTGTGGCGGTGGGGCCTGGGCGGTGGTCCCTGGGCGTTGGTGTTCGGCGGTGGTCCCTGGGCGGTGGTGTTTGGTGGTGGTCCCTGGGCGGTGGTCCCTGGCGGTGGTGGGGAAGTGCTGTGCCAGCTGCTGGCTGGGTTACAGGAATCTCACCCGCCAGCAGGACAGTCTGGACTTCTCAATAGGTTCCAAGAGGGCAGAGGCAGAAGCTGCCAGGCCTCTGATGGCCTTGCGGCAGGGCTGGGACAGCCTCCCGAGAAGGGGCGGCTTCTAAGGGCAGGAGTCGCGGAAGCAGAGCGGATGCTTTGCTGCTGCCATACCTGTGTGAAAAGGCAGGGGGCAGGCCCTGTTCTTCCTCCCTTTCCCCAAATACACAGGCAAACAGGAGACACCCATGCTGTCCTGGGGAAGGGGCTGGGGCGGCCTATGTCTTCCCACCCAAGGCCAGCACTGGGGGTCTCCTGGTTGTCGGGCGCTTGGTGGGACACTGAGGCCTCAGACGGCACTGGTCCCTGGCCAGCCAGGTGGTTAGGCTGCTGGCTGGGACAGCAGATGGGGCTCTGCCCCAGAGGAGGCGCCTGTGACAGCATCCCAGTGGGGCTGTCGGGATCAGGGGACTGAAGGGGACTGAAGGGGACTGAAGGGGGCTAGGAGCCAAGAAAAGCATCATGAAAGGTGGTGTTACGTGGCCTGAGTCTCCACAGGTCAGGGAGCATTCTAGGTGGCCAGGGGTGTAGAGTAGTGGGGACAGCGGCCTCCTGAGTGGAGATGTCAGGCCGACCTGGTATGCAGAGGGAGCGCTGAGCACTCCCAAGACTGTGGGGGGCTGGGTGGGAGTGGGGAGCTTGTGGGCAGGGGTGCAGTGTGGGCCCGGGGGGCCCAGCCAGAGCCCAGCTGTGCCATGTCCTGGGAGGCCATGGCCCGAGACACGGCAGACCAGCCCCAGAGCTGGGCGTCTTCCTCCAGGGCCCCTGATGTCAGCTGTGTTGGCGCGGATGGTGGGCACGTGGGGGGCAAGGCCGACAGTGGCTGTGCTCCAGGCTTTGCCCACCGATGGCGTCTCTGGGGCGACTGAAGCTCTGAAGAAGCCTGTGGAATGCAGGCCGGCTCCACGCCTTCAGAATGTGGCTTTTATAGTCAGGGGACGCGTTGTCCCTTGGCCACTGCCAGCTGTCTGTAAGCTCAGGATTAGAGAGAGCTGGGGCCAGGCCGGCTGAGCCCTTCACGGGGAGGGGAGGGCCAGACCGCTGGGCAGGGAGAGACAGCCTGGCCCGGTGAGTGAGCCAGCCAGCAGACAGTGTGCTGGCCTTCTCCTCGCCTGCCCCCAGGGCCTGGCGCAAGCTCTCCTCTCCCCGCCCTCCCTGGCTTGGGGTCCTCACCCCATCCCGGCCTTTCTGAGCCTCTCAGGGCAACCTCCTGGATGGCATCACAGTGGGCGTTGGCCTCCCCTCCACGCCCCACCTCCGCTTCTGGTCAGGAGCACCCTCACCCACAGCAGGACGGGAAGCTGTGTGGGGCAGGAGGTGTCAGGGGGCCAGGGGACTGGGGCTTGAGTCCACCTCGTGGCTGTGTGACAGTGGACAGGTGGCATGCCCTCTCTGGGCCTCAGTCGCTAAAGCAGGAATGGTGCTGTCCAGTGACCTGCTCTGGGAACATTACGTGGAAGGAAGAATCCACAGCATGGGGTTCTCACCCTCGCGTGCCCGGGGTGGCTGCCAAGGGGCCAGCAGTGTTGCCACGTGTCAGGGCTGGCCCGAGTTCTGCATCCCTGGAATCTGCAGCCTGGGTTCTGTGAAGGCGGAGCATGACTGGGTGGCGGGCAGCAGGGTTATAATGCCGAGATTTCCCGTCCCCACCCCTCTCCCCGCCCCGGCGCCTTGCCTCCGCGTGCCTCTCTTTGGGCAACGGGCAGAGGCCCCAGAGCAGGCGGGATTCCTGTAAGGTGACGCCAGGCAGAGTGTCCAGCAGGCACAGCCAGCCTAGGCACCCATTCACTCGGCCACCAGGGCTCCATTCACCCCCGGCTGGGAGGGCAGTGCCCTACAACTCGAAGCTGGGACTTCTCCATGGGTGGGGGCTCCGTCACTCTGCCAGTGACCCCAGGCTGGCCCTGGGGGCCATCCTGCTGCTGTGGGGGTGCAGGGGTGGGTGCTGGCCCAGGGTGCTGCACCCCACACTGGGAGCTCCAGCTTTCCCCTGAAAGATGACTGAGGAGGCGGCAAGGCCACCCCAGGTGGGTAGGACACGGTGCTGGCCAGCGTGACGGACGTGGTATGTGTGGGCGGGTGCCATGCCACGTCTTTTACAAACAATTGACCGCAGCCCTCACGACAGCCCTGGGGGAGGAAGTGGGGTGTGACCCCAGCTCCAGGTGGCACAGCTTCCTTCTGCCGTGGCCGTGGAGCCCTGAGAGGACCCTACTTGATGTCTCTGGGGTCTCCTGGCAGCTGCATTCACCCTCAAGATGGCTGTGGGGGGGTGGTTGCTGGGCCCTGGGGGCAGAGGAACTGCCAGGTGGCAGAGCAGCCATGACCCCATCCCCCCATTCCCACCTCCCCACCCTGCAAGCTAGCTCAGAAGGCAGGTGTATGGACGGGGTCACCTATCTCTGTCCAAGGCAGGACACTCCCTCCCACCTCCTGCTGGGGCCATGTCACCCGGACATAGGACTTGGGACGGGAGGGGAAGCACTCATCCTGGCGCCCAGCAGCCCAAGCTGTTCGAGAAGCTGCCCGAGTTTGAAGGGTGCCTCGGGGTTCTTGGGGAGTCCGGAGGCTCTGGGAACCCGGCTTCGCAGGGCCAGGCTGGGTGTCATTGGCGATTTGTGGCGGAGTGTGCTCCAGTTTCCTGCGTCCTCCCCTGCGGGGTCCCCAGCCACGCTCCGGCCAGGCTGACCTGTGTCTCTGTCCTCTCTGCAGGGGCTGGCGTCTTCTTCCTGTCCTCGGCCGAGGGCGAGCAGATCAGCTTCCTGTTCGACTGCATAGTCCGAGGCATCTCCCCCACCAAGGGCCCCTTTGGGCTGCGGCCGGTTCTCCCAGGTGTGTGTGGAGCCTGGCCGGCCGGGAGGATGCGCTCGATGGGCTGGACGGTGTCCCGGGGCCAGGGGCCACGCCAATTCGTCCCCTGGTCAGGTGGCCGCCCTCCCCACCCTCAGCTGAGGAACCAGCCCTCTCCGGGCCAGGCCTGCAGGCTGGGCTTCAGAGCGTCGGCCAGGCTTGCCCCTGCAGGCGCTCTCCCTTGGGGGTCTGAGTGGTTGGGACGCTGGGGCCTAAGGCATTCTGGCTGGGACACTCAGTGGCAACTGCTCCTTGCAGTAAGAGGACCACCACCATCTCCCAGGCTGGGACTGGGGATGGCCTTGCCTGAGCCCGGCAGCCAGCGGGGCTGGTCTCACTCTGCAGCTGGGATGGGGACTGCTCCATCTGAGCCCTGTGTTTAGGCCCCGGGCTATTTCAGAAGGTCGCCTGGCGGTGGGGTCTCAGGGCACGTCGGACTGAGGGGCCTCGCCGTGTTCCACGTGCACTTCCTTGGCTGTGGCTGCGGCTAGGCGAGGTGTCGGCTTCGCAGGATGTGGTTGCTGGACCCCAGAGGGGTGGGTGTGCCTGGGCACGGCAGGGCTCCCCATGTTGGGGCAAGTGCGGGGCAGGGCCTCCTCTCTCCAGTGCTCCTCTAGCTCCGTGAGGGCAGTGCTTGTCACAACAGCCAAGTGAGGCCCAGGCCCAGGCCACATGGCGAGGGACCAGCAAGCTGCCGGGGCGTGGTAAAGGGGTTGACTGGGAGGACAGAGGTGAGCAGCATGTGGGCGCCCCGGCCTCCGTTCTGGCCACAGCCCCCGATGCCTGCTACCCACACCAGCTCAGGTATGTGGGGGGCAGCCCTGGGAGGAGAGAGGCGGCACCTGTGGCCAGGGCCTTCCCTGCCACCCCGTCGTGCTGCATGGTGCAGCCGCACTCCTGCAGGCGTCTTCCTGCCTAGTGGCTGACAGCATCTGTGGACGGTGTGGTCAGCATGTTCGGCTGTGCAGGGCGTGGGGCGGGGACAGGGCCAGGCAGGGGCAGTAGGAGGCTGAGGAGGCCTCCCCTCTCCCTCCTGCTCCCCACAGGCTGTTCCCGGGAGCTGAGGCTGTGCCCGGGAAGCAGCACTGGGCAGAGGATGCCAGGGAGGCTCGGCCTGGGACAGCTGTTAGACGGGACAGGCCCTACCACCCCTGGCAGGGCCATTGCTGGCGGCTGGAGGGGTTGGGCTGCCCAGAAGTCCCAGACCTCACTCCACAGGATGTCCTTGTGAGCCAGAGTCAGCTGGGGGCTCTCAGAAAGCTCTGCGGTCAGGGCGTTGGCCTGCAGCTGTGTCCCCCCACCCCCCGCAGAGCCCCTCAGCACCCTCACGCTCGGGGCTTTCTGCCATGCTCCTGTGCTGAGCCTGCTGTGGCCAGACCCACTGGAGAAGCAGGAAGTCCAGCCCCTTGGTCTTCTGCACGGGACACTGAGGCCCAGAGGCGGCCAGTCCCGCCATGAGCAGGAGGGCAGGGCTCCGAGGTCCGGGGTCTGCCGTGCTGCCTTCTTGGCCCAGTCTCCGCAGGGGTGCCCTGTTGCTGCACCCCCATTTTTCAGACGAGGGTGAGAGGCTCAGGGGGTGCGTGGTGGGGCTGGGAGTCAGTCCGTGTCTTGCTGCCCCACTGGCTACTGGGTGGGAAATGGAGGAAGTTGTGTCCTGCGTGCTGCCCCTGTTGTCACCGAGGGGCCACTCTTCGTCCCAACCGCAGGGCACTGGCTTTGGGGGCGGCCCTGATGGGAAGATCCCAAGGCCGAGGGGCGGTGGAACTATCTTGTCACTGTCCTTGTCTTCAGCCTGGACCCTCAGTGTGCCAAGGAGCCAGGCCTGGTGCCTGCTGTCCTGCCTACATGGCAGAATGTGTCTGTGACAGTGCCAGGAGGCCGTGTCTGGAGGGAGCAGGGCCTGAGCTGGCACCGCCCTGGCTGCCATCGCCTTCCACCCTCCCAGGCACAGGAGGGGAGGAGACAGGAGAGAGGCCTGTGCCTCCCATCCCTGTCCCTGGCAGTGCTACAGACGGGGCCATAGGGTTGTCGGCCGGCCCGTCCCCAGGCTGACCGGAGCAGTGCCTTGGGGCGGCCATACCGTAGGCTGGTGGAGGCTCCTCCAGCCTCTTGCGTTCCTGGGCCTGGTGCAATGAGTTCTCACCTGCCCGTGGGGAGGGCCCGGTTCTGAGGTTCCGACAGGGCAACGTGTTGTGCTCAAAGCCCCAGGTGGGCACCTGTGTGGCCTGAAGGTGTCAGCGGAGGACAGTGTCCTATCAGGGATGGGGCCTCTTCAGCCTAGACATGAACAGGGACAGGGGCACCATTGCTGTCTCTGTTTCTCTGAAAGCCTGACTGATGTCCAGCCTCTGCCAGGCTCGGCTCTGCCCGCCCAGGCTCTGATCCCGTGTCCCAGGCCGTGGGCTGTACCTTCCCGTCTGCTGTGTGTGGCAGGATTGGGTGAAACGGCATGTTGCCTCTGCTCCTGAATTCTGGGGAATGGGCTCTTGAACCTGTCTTGGCTCAGTCCTGCAGGTGTCCCCGAGGTGGGTGGCAGGAGGTGTGTCCTGGAGGCCCAGAGGAGACACTTGAAGCGTGACAGGGTCTGTTTGCTCTTGTGGGTGTGGCTGTGGCTTCCCTGCTGGGAAGCCCCTTTAGAGAACCGTGGCCGTGGGTGCAGTGGAAGTGGAGGGGGCAGGGTCCTGAGCCCTGCTGTTCGGGCCCGGCAGCCTCTCAGCCCAGCATTCTCATCACTGAGTGCCTGGGACATCCCAGCACGGGTGGGGGCTTGAGGACCCGGGCAGCGATGCTGAGGTTCGGGCCATAGTATTGAGGGGCCAGCGAGGGTCCCGCCCTGCCTGGGCAGGAAGGGGAGGATTCTGGCCACCCAGTCCCACAGGACACATGGATGATTACAGAGAAGGTGGGGGCTGGGGCTCCCTGGATGCAGCCCTGAGGGGAGGGGATGGGTGATGCTGAGAGTTTGCAGACCACTGAGCTCTGAGCCTTGGGCACCGTGTGAGGCTCCATCTGAAGCCCCAGGGAGCAGTGGGGCTGCCATAAGGTCGGGAGTGCGTTTACCCCAGGGGGAGGGGAGCCTGTGAGAAGTGGGCGCCCTGATGGGGGGCGGGCAGCACCTCTTGCAGCGAGGTGGGTGCTAGGGACCGGGGAGGGGCCAGGCTTTTTTGGAACAGAAAATTGAGAGACTCAGTGGTGGTGAGAAAGAGGGGTCTGGCTGGCGTGGGGCCCTTGTGAGTGGATAGGTGGCAGGGCGGTCCATGGGCAAAGGGACCAGCTGGTGGCCTGGATGGGGGTGGCATGGATGTCTGCATGTGAGGCCCAGCATCTGGGCTGAGGTGTGGGGAGGAGTGGGGCTCCCAGGGGACTGCCACTCCACTGAGGGGGAACCCAGTGCCAGGCTGGGCTGTGCCCGAATTTAAGGGTGGGAGATGGGGCCACCTCCTCCATGGACTCTTCTCTGCTGCAGATCCAAGTCCCACGGGACCCTCAACCATGGAGGAGCGTGTGGCCCAGGAAGCCCTGGAAGCCCTGCAGCTGGAGAAGCGGCTGAGCCTCCTGTCCCCCATGGGCCGGCCAGGCAGTGGAGGTAGGGCCGGGGCCGGGGCCGGGTCTGGGCTGTGGGGCCTCGGCTAAGCTGCAGCGGGAGAGCGCTGGAGGCTTCCATACGCGCATGGGCGCTGCCGGCTCCCTCTGCTCATTCCTTCCTTCCATCTGTCTCCTGCTCATTCCTTCCTTCCTCTCTCCCATCATTTATTCCTTCCTTCTCCCTCTGATCATTCATTCCTTCCTTCTCCCCCATCATTTATTTCTTCCTTCTCCCTCTGATCATTTGTTCCTTCCTTCTCCCTCTGATCATTCATTCCTTCCTTCTCCCTCTGATCATTCATTCCTTCCTTCTCCCTCTGATCATTCGTTCCTTCCTTCTCCCTCTGATCATTCGTTCCTTCCTTCTCCCTCTGATCATTCGTTCCTTCCTTCTCCCTCTGATCATTCGTTCCTTCCTTCTCCCTCTCATCATTCGTTCCTTCCTTCTCCCTCTGATCATTCGTTCCTTCCTTCTCCCTCTGATCATTCGTTCCTTCCTTCTCCCTCTGATCATTCGTTCCTTCCTTCTCCCTCTGATCATTCATTCCTTCCTTCTCCCCCATCATTCATTCCTTCCTTCTCCCCATCATTCATTCCTTCTTTCTCCCCCATCATTCGTTCCTTCTTTCTCCCCCATCATTCATTCCTTCTTTCTCCCCCATCATTCATTCCTTCCTGCTCCCTCTGATCATTCATTCCTTCCTTCTCCTCTGCTCATTCATTCATTCCTTCCTGCACTCTTGATTCCACATTTGCCAAACTCTGGTCTGAGGTGCTGACAGGAACAGTGGTTCTGCTCTGAGAGCCCTGAATCCTTTCCTGCCCACCAGCTTGTGCCTGGGGGAGGCCAAGGCCCTGAGTGTTGGTTTTACCTTCTGTGCCCAGACAGAAGGCTCTAAGGCAGGTGAGCTAGCTGCCCAGGAGCAGAGGCACCTCCTCAGCTGCTGGTGGCTCTGGCTCTGTTGCCATCGTGGGGAGAGGAGGTGGTGCCAGGGGCTGGCAGTGCAGTGAGGAGCTGCTGTGCTCCCAGGAGGGTGGCGGCATGGGTGACCTGTTCCCAGGGCCAAGTGTGGGCTGGTCTGGTCGTGCCCTCTGATCACTGCCTGACCCTGGAGTGCACCAATCGGACAGCGGCCTTCTCCCCTTCTGCCCTGCCCCACCCTGGGAGAAGGGGTCTCAGATTTGCAGTGAGCTTCGGGCTTCCTAGGGGTGGCTCACAACTGCTTCCACCTGGGAACCCTGGAAGGCAGAGCAGGCAGCTTAGTGAAGCAGCAGAGATGAGAGCAGCTTTCCCATGGGCGCACGAGGCCAGGCCTGGCAGGGAGGCAGCCTGGGCCCTGCTGTGGGAGTGGTTCTCTTCCCCGAGGGCAGGGGGCGAGTCAAGGTGTCCAGGCTGGCAGGGTCTGAGAAGTTCTTGGGGAAGGGAAGTGCAGGCCAGCCTTGGCGCCATGACGGTGCAGAGGGCAAGCTGCCCAGGTGGCCCTGGATGGCAGTTGAGATGACTGGGCACAGAGCGTGGGTCTCTTTGGCAGGGAGGGTGGGGAGAGGAGGAGGCTGGGACCCAGGTATTGGCAGGGGCGCTGAGAGGGAGGGGCCCGGGGCCTAGGAGAATGGGTGGCAGAAGGACAGGAGCAGACAAAGGACAGGAGTGAATGAGGAACAGGGAGGGCAAAGGGTGCCCTGTTGTTGGTGAAGCCAGGTTTCTGTGACAGCCCCCAGAGGGTTGGGGGCTGGAAGGAGGGTGAGATCAGGAGGTGTCAGCCCATGGGGATCCACCAGGCGTCAGCCACACCCTGAGCCCTCCCCAGCCCCCTGCCAACCCCAGCTGCCTTGGCCTCCTGCTCTGTCCCAGGGGATGACCGCAGCCTGTCCAGCTCTTCCTCGGAGGCCAGCCACTTGGACGTCAGCGCCAGCAGCCGGCTCACCTCGTGGCCAGAGCAGTCCCTGTCATCGGCCAGCACGTCGAAGGAGGGGCCTAGGCCAGCAGCTGCCCAGGGCCCTGGGGAAGCCATGCTGGGCGCCTCCAGGCCGCCCCCCAAGCTGCTTCAGCCTCGGCAGCTGCAGGAGGTCGGCCGCCAGAGCTCCTCCGACAGCGGCATCGCCACGGGCAGCCACTCCTCCTACTCCGGCAGCCTGTCTTCCTACGCGGGCAGCAGCCTGGACGTGTGGCGGGCTGCGGACGAACTGGGCTCGCTGCTCAGCCTGCCAGCGGCCGGGGCCCCTGAGCCCAGCCTGTGCATCTGCCCACCTGGGGCCATCGAGTACCAGGTGCCCACCTCACTGCGGCCCCACTACGACACACCACGCAGCCTGCGCCTGGCTCCCAGGGACCACAGCCCCGCCTCGCAGGGCAGCCCCGGTGACAGTGCGGCCGGGGACTCGGGCGGCCAGATGTCTGCTGGGTGTCCCTCTGGCTGGCTGGGCACAAGACGGCGGGGCCTGGCGACGGAGGCCCCCCAGGGCAGCGAGGCCACACTGCCTGGTCCTGCCCCCGGCGAGCCCTGGGAAGCAGGCAGCCCCCACGCAGGGCCAGCCCCGGCTTTCTTTTCGACATGTCCAGTCTGTGGAGGACTCAAGGTAAACCCCCCTCCCTGAGAACTGCAGATCTGGTCTGCAGCTGCACAGGGGCTGAATTTGCCCCCAGACGGGAGAGGAGGTGGCCCTGGCCTCCCCTTGCCCAGGACAGGCGCTCTACATTCTGTGGGAGGGACCAGGGTGTCCCGGAGAGAGGACTGAGGGAGCACGCTGTGGCTGCCCATGGAGGAAGGGGCAGACTTGGGGAGCTGAGTTCTGGAAGGCAGGGGCTCTGGGCGGGCAGGTTGGGGTCGGCAGAGCCCCAAGGCCCAACTGCTTTTCACTGTGTCTCCCAGTCCTGAGGATCAGGCTCTGGGGGCTTTGGTGGGTGCTGCATCTCTGCAGCTTGTGCCTTGCACTGGGGTGCCAAGGGCTGGAGGCCCCGCTGCTGGCCTTGCCTTGTTCTCCTCGGGCCTCACGTCCCCTTCGTGGGTGGCTGGTTCTCCCCCTCACGTCTCTGGTGCAGTCACACCACCTGCTAAGCACCAAGCCACCCACAGCGGCTCTGGACACCCAGGCTCTACCAGCCAGCCGCTGGCTCTGTGGGCACCGGGCCTCATCCCCGTCTGTGGGAGGAAACTGAAGCTCAGGAGTCTGCGTGACTCGTGAGGTCTCTGGGGTCCGGGTCCTGCCTCCCCGAGGAAGCCCTTGCAGGAAGGCCCTGGGGGCAGGTGGCATCCCGAGAGCAGCCTCAGTTGTTGACCCTGCTGGGAGGGGCGGTGTGCCCCAGGCTTCTGGTGAGAGCCTCCTTGTGGGCCCAAGGCAGGCTTGGCGTCGAGAGGCTCTGGGCCCTGTCTGTGCTTGCCCTAGCCCAGTGCCCCTTAGTGTCAGCAGCTCGGCTCCCCTGTGTCGGAGGCAGGGCAGTATCCGGCCCACTGTGCACACCCTGGGTGACTTTGTCCCATCCAGCCCAGAGCCAGCCCTGACCACCGCCCAGCCGAGCCCTGGGAACACCTGGCTCCATCCCTTGCTGTTGGCCATTTCTCACTCCGACACTTTTTGTAAGACATTCTCGGACCGGAAATAAAGTGTTCTTTTCTTACCACCTTGTCCTCGTCCGTTGCCCGGCCCTCTGCCCCCTCACCCGGCCTCCACGCTGGGCCTCTGCCTGGATCTGAAGTCCCCGAGCCCAGCCTCCATGCTGGGCCTCTGCCTGGATCCGCGAGCCCGGCCTCCTCGGCCGTCATCTCAGGAGCTGGAGCAGCCTCGTCCGTCTCGTCAGCCTTGGGCCTGAATGCTGTGGCGTGCAGAGAGGCAGTGCCGGGCAGCCCTCGGGCTGGGCTGTGCCTGTGTGTGCGCGTCTGTGTGTGTGCGTGCATGTGTGTCTGCGTGTGTCTGTGCGCGCACATGTGGTGTGTGCATGTGTGCGCGCACATGTGGCAAGTTCCTGGGTATGTCCTGGAGACCACAATGGGGTCTGAGTAGTCCATTGGGCTCAGGCACAGGGCTCCTCAGGTCCAGGTGAGAGCAGACCCTCCAACCTGAGGCCAGGAGGGGACTGGCTCTGAGCCTGGGGCCCCTGCCCTGTCTGTCTCCCCATATGGGGCCAAGTTCCAGGCTGGTCTCAGTCACCCCTGCACATCCTGTGGGGGCACCTGTCTGCCCTCTTGCCTGCCACCCTGTTTGGGGGCGACTCTGCGTGGGGAGTCCTGGGGGAGCTTCTGCAGTGATGCCTGGTGGCAAGTGTGGGCTTCGGGGACTGAGTTTGGGCCACGTCCACTGGCTTGGTGCCCCTAGCCAGCCCCGCGCCTCTCTGAGCCTCAGTTTCCTCTTGCAAACGGGGTGACAGATCCTGCCTCACTGGGCTGCATGAGGGTCTGATGAGGTCACGTCACAGGTGCTCAATAGCTGCCGTCACTGTCGCCCCAGCTGCTGTCACCTCCGGCAGTCGCCGTGGCAGCCTTGTTGTGGGATGAGAGGCTGTGGCGTCCATGCTGGGGAGCCGAGCCCTCCTGCCAGAGTCCTCATCATCTGAGCTCAGCCTTCTGCGTTCCCACGGGTCCCCTGACCAAGGCTCGGGGGACGGGGTCCCTCTGACAAGAGCCGACTGAGGCACTCCACGGTGGCCTGGGGGGTGGTGTGGGGTCATGGAGGCCTCTTGCCTGGTGGGACCAGGCCCCTGGACAGCCTTTCCTTACGGCGACGCGGCCGGGGCGTGTGTCTCTCCCCGCTGTGCTGAAGCACAGGTCTGCTGCAGCGTGCGGTCCGGGGTCTCCAGCCTCAGTACCCCTTCCCAGGTGGGTGGCCAGTGGAGTGGGGGCTTCTCCTCAGCCCCGGGGCAACCAGATGGGGCATACACTGGCTCTGTTCTCTCACCACCCGGGAGCCTCTGGGCCTGGCCAGGTAGGAACAGGGCGGACCTTCGCTGCTTCGGGCTCTGTACCACCTGCACCTGCAGGCCTGGCCCTCCCAGGGCATCTGGGGACGGGCGCTTTTGGGCCTGTGTGTGATGAGCTCGGGGGTGCTGGCCTTTGTCAAAGGCTCTCAGAGTCTGGATCAGCCTAGTTTGCTCAGGGCGTCCTGTGTGAGGGTCCCAGTCCTGTGACTGTCTGCCCTCAAGTCTGGCCTGGAGCAGAACTCAGCACCGAGCCCCCAGTTCCAGCCTCCCAGCCCCCACCCACACAAGGCCCTCACAACAGGAGGGTGCTGTGGCCTCTTTCTGGCCGCCCGCTGCTGGGGCCCAAGTGGGGCCTTCTCGGGCTGGCCCCGCTTCTGCTTGTTCGGGCTGGAGGAGGGCAGGAAACCTCTGTGCTCAGCCGTAGGCCGCCATCCCTCCCTCAAGTGGCCTTCAGACCCCACCCCAGGCTTCTCCAGGGACTGAGGGCACCTCCAGGTAGGCACAGCCCACCCAGAGGCCCAGGAGCAGGCAGGTCGCCTGCAGTGTCGGGGAACTGTGCTCATCTCACCTGGGGCCTCTCAATGGGGCGCTTTCCAGGGGCACCCCCGTGGAGCCCTCCCCGCCAGCTGCTGAGAGCAGGGCCCACACCCTGAAGGACGGAAGGAAATGGAGGCCACGCTGGGAGCAGCTGCTCAGCTCTGAGGTCGGCGCCCGGACACTACCTCTTGTGGGTGTGGTCCTCCTCCGATAAAGCTCTACTAGCAAAATAGGTGGCGCCGGACAGGGCTAGGGGCTCGGAACTGCCCCATCCCCAGATGAGGAGGCCTCCAGCTCTTCTGTGGCTGGTTATGGGGGCTGCCACCAGATTGAGAGGTCAGGGTGGGTGGGCAGCCTGGATATCTGGGGCCTGTGGGGCAAAGGGCCCTGGAGAGAAGGCATCAGGGATGGCGGGTGGATTCCCTGCAGGTGGCCCAGGTCCCCCAGCCTGTGTCACTCTCAGGGGTAGTGTCCTTGTTCTCAGAGGCCCCGGGCACAGGATGAAGGGAAACCTGAAGGGTGCGCTGACCTGGGTTCTCTTTGGTCTAGGGAGCAGCTGCCTTACCCCCTGGACCTGCGACAGCACATTCAGGTAGGCACCTGGAGTCCCTCAGAGCTCAGGGACAGGGAGATGGGAGTCTGGGTGGGTGCAGAAATGACAGCCAGAGTCTGGCTAGATGGGGAGGGTGGTGGCCCCACTGCCAGTGGGGACTGTGGGGAATGGGGTGAAAGTGGGTATTGGGGTGACAGTGTATGCTAGGCAGCAGTGGGCATTGGGTGTCAGTGGGCACTGGGTGGCAGTGGGCACTGGGTGGCAGTGGGTGCTGGGCAGCAGTGGGCATTGGGTGTCAGTGGGCACTGGGTGGCAGTGGGCACTGGGTGGCAGTGGGTGCTGGGCAGCAGTGGGCACTGAGCGGCAGTGGGTGTTGGGCGGCAGTGGGCACTGGGTGGCAGTGGGTATTAGGTGGCAGTGGGCACTGAGCAGCAGTGGGCGTTGGGAGGCAGTGGGCGCTGGGTGGCAGTGTTGGGCGGCAGTGGGTGTTGGGTGGCAGTGGGCACTGGGTGTTGGGTGGCAGAGGGTATTAGGCGGCAGTGGGTGCTGGGTGGCCGTGGGCACTGAGCGGCAGTGGGTGTTGGGTGGCAGTGGGTGCTGGGTGACAGTGGGTGTTGGGTGGCAGTGGGCACTGGGTGGCAGCAGGCAGTGGGGGTGAGTCCCAGCCCAGGTGTGGACAGCGGCGCAGTGGGTAGAATGCAGACTGCTGGCTCTGTGTGGCCTGGACCAGTGTGGCCTCTCAGGAGCACCTGCTGAGAGTGCCCAGTGGGCAGCTGGATAATGGATTGAGGGTTGGGAGACACAGACTTGGGTCTGTGGGTCCCCAGGCTGTGAGCATGGACCTGTTCCTGGAAGGGGGCATGGCAGGAAGGCAGTCAGAGCTGGGGTCCAGGAGCCCAAGCTTGGGAGGAGGGGCTGTGTCCTCAGAGAGTGGAGGGGGCCTGTGGCGGCGGGGCTCATGGGAAGCAGCTTCGTGAGGAGCAGGCATTGGTGTCTGGCAGGTGCAGTTTTGGGGCCGGGCTGGGAGGGACGGCCAGGCAGGGAATGAGGGGAAAGGCGCAGGTCCCCAGGATCTCCCTGGAGAAGCCCAGCTGTCATCGTGGACAGAGCCCTGCTGAAGGCTGGGCAGGGTTGAGAGAGACTGGAGGTGAGGGTGGCTGGCCTGAGGTGGATGGGTGGCATAGTTCTGTGTCTCAGTTTCCCTGTGAGCAGGAGCCTCTATGGACTGAACCTTGGATTCCTCAATCCCTTCTTCCCAGGCAGGTGGCACCTACAGGGGGCGTATGGTCCAGGCAGTCCTGGAGGGGATACCTGGGGATGGGGGCGTGGCTCAGGCAAGCCTGGAGGGACACCTAGGGGTGGGGGTGGAACCACAGGTGGGCAAGGGCAGCTCGGAAAGCCCCCACCAGCCGGCCTTGGACTTGGGCTGGACACTGATCCTTGCAGTCCAGAGGCTGCCACCAGGCCAGAGGAGGTGGAGCCAGCCCTCCCCCAAGTGTCCTCCCGGGGGCCTGCCATTGCCTCCCCGAGGCCACCCATACCCTTCAGGTGTCTTTTACTCAGGGTGCCCTGGGGCACAGGTCTGGGCGACCTGTGGGGGTCAAGGGGACAGGCCCATAGGATCTACTGGAGGACATGAATCTTTTCCACAGAGGCTGCCAGGGGTTTCAGGAGGGGCGCCCGCGGTCTGTCATTGGACAGAGGTGAGCCAGGCCGGTATGGTAGTGTCGGGCTGCCAGCCAAGGGCGGGGTGAGGGAGGAGGGCGCAGAAGGGCCAATTCCCAGTTCCTGCTTCACCGCAAGTGTCTGAGGCACTGGGAGCGATGCTTACAGAAGCCGAAACAAAAGCAAAGTCCCAAGGAGGGCATGGGAGGTGGAGCACTGGGGACCTGGGCGCTGGTGGCCGTGGAGGAGCTGCGGATATGGCCCCCCGGCCCAGCGCCGCTTACAGCCTAGTGGACTCCGGGCGGTGCTGGGAACCTTCATCCCTTCTCCCTGCAGTCAGGACTCAGGCTCCTTCCAGCTTCCACTCTCGCCCCTCCAACTGACCTTGGGGACATCCTTGGAAGAACGATTCCAATCCTAAAACGAGGTGCCAGGCTGCAGGGGCATGTTCAGCCCGTCATGGGCGAGCCCCAGACCTGCCCCTTGGCTTCAGGAACCTGTGCAGGGCAGCCTGGCCCCTTTCCAGACTCCAGCCCCGGCACGCCCCCCGCTCTCCCCACACCTGCCTCTCCCACCATGCCTTCTTGGCCTCTATCCCTCGGCATGCCCCTTCCTCCAGGCAGCTAACCCTGACGCCTCTGTCCCTGCTGGCCCAGGTGCCTGCCTGGGCACCGGAACTTGGCTGTGGTGTTCTGTGGCTCATCTTGATGAAGGGGTCCTCGAATCCTGAGAGGGGGCTAGCCCTCTAGGACCATGCACTGCAGGAGGGGGTCTCCCCAGGGCCCCAGGCCCTGGCAGGGTGAGGGCAGAACTGTGCTGGCTGCTTTAGTTCATGAAATCAGGTGAGCGAACCTGCATCGACCTGGGCTCCCTCTCACTCTGTCCTGGCTGCTGGCTGCAGAATCAGCAGGTCAGGTCTCTCTGGGAGACTGGGAGCAAGCAGGTGAAAGTTCCCCCCAGCAGACATGTGGAAGGGATTGACGGGGACAAGGCAGACTGGACGCCTGCTGCAGGTGCCGGGCAGCGGGTGGCCACAGGAGAGCCTGGGTCTGCTTCGGACGCATCCCTGGGGCAGGGAGGCCCAGCCTTGAGCCAGGCCCTTCCCGACAGGCAGGCGTTTCAGGAAGGCCGAACTGCAGGGCAGTCACCCCCCATCCCAGCTCCCACCTGAATTCTGAGGGCTCGGAGTGTGCCAGGGGCAGGCTCAACCTGGGTAGGGCTTGGCTGAGCCTCCCAGTTGCTGGGCCAGGGAATGAGGAAGGGGGACTTGCTCTCACTGCCGCACGTCACGTGGCTTTGAGTTCCCCCACAAGGCCCTGACGACAGGAGTGGGAGGAGGCGCTGGAGAATAGGATCCTTCTGCAGGACCTCGGTGCCTGCAATGCGGAGCCCTCAGGGCGGCAGAGGAGGGGCCAGCGTGTGTCCAGCCCCACAAGGTGGGAGCCTGCCTCAAGTCCCACCCAGCCGGGCCCATGGGGTCCCCTTCAAACACCTGCTCTGCCCACCCCAGCAGCAGTTGGGTTTGCAGACAGAACCCGTGGGTGGGGCCAGGGAGTAACTCCCATGAAGGGAGAGAGGGTGTGGGGCACCCGGGTGCCCTAGAGGGGACGCAGAGAGAGCCTGGGCCTGTGCGCAGGGAGCCTGCAGCAGGTGGGTGACCCAGGAGGACAGTGAGGGGCAGGTGCTGGAGGCCAGAACAAAGCAGGGCTGCGCTGGCCTGGGAGGGACAGGGAGAGAGGAGAGAAGGTGCTGGGACAGCCAGGGAGGGTGGCTGGCAGGGAGACTGCCAGGAAGGTGCGGGTGAGTGGTGCAGGGACAGAAGAGCGGGCCTCGAGGGGTCCACTGGGGGTCGGCAATGACTGCAGGAGAGGCGGCACAGGGAGGGGCAGCGCTTCCTTCTGCTCTGTGGGCACCTGGACCAGCAGTGGACAGTGGGGGGGTGGTTTCAGGATGGGGCAGTGCTGGGCCACAGACTGACAGGGAAAATGGAGCGGGAACCTCCAAGGCGCAGGAGAGGCAGAGGGGGAAGGAGGGGCTGGCAGCTCTTTACTGCACAGTCTTTGGGATCAGTGAGGCTCTCGGCCTCCACAGGGCTCACAGCCGCTCCCCCCACAGGATCCCCAGGACCAGAGAGGCCTCGAGGCGAGGCGCCCACTTACGTGAACATCCCCGTCAGCCCCGCCTCCAGAAGGCAGCTGCACTACATGGGCCTGGAGCTCCAGGAGGCCGCTGAGGGTGTCCGAGGTGGGTCCCTGCCCTGTGTGGAGGCCCTGACAGTTGGGAGCTGGGACCACAGACTCAGGGCCCTGTCCCCCAGCCCCACCCAGCAGCCCTCACCAGGGAGCTCTGCCTACCAGCCTCCTCCCAGGAGGCAAACTTCCCCAACTCCATCCCTGGCCGGGCCACACCCCCTGAGGGTGTCCCCACTGCAGGAGGGGGTGTCCTGTCCAGCAGGCCTGGCTGGGGACTGCTATGGAGGGCAGGGTCACAGGCCTGGGCGGTGGGGCGGCGCAGGCTGCTGCTGACCACGGGCTTCTCTCAGGGGCCGGCGCCTCCCTCTACGCCCAGATCAACATCGCCGCCACCGAGACAGCGCATAGAGTGGGGGCCCGGCACGCCCGGGCCCGGGAGGAGCAGCTGCCAGAGCTGGAGCGGAGGAGGGCGGCCCAGCCGTGAGGCCGCAGCGCCCAGTGCTGACCACACCCCGCCGCCTGTGCTGCTGCCACAGCCCCGGCAGGCCTGCCCCTTCTGTTGGCCGTGGCCTGATCCCCAGGGACCCCCAGACGCCAGAGAGGGCGTGGCTGGTCTCTGGGCCGTGGTGCAAACAGGAAGTATCCAGGGCCCACGGCCAGGCCTCCCGCCTTGTAGGTGCCCCGGGCTGACCCTTCCTTTGGCCTGAATGAGTTGCTCTAGATCCCAGGCTGCCTGAGGCCCTGCTTCCAGGGGTCAGGTAGCTCTGGTCGCTGCCCAGGAGTGAGTTTGGGAGCATGGTTTGCGGTGCCTGGGATGCAAACTGCCCTCTCACCCTGGAGGTGACTGCCCGGATGACAGCTGTGTCCTGGCAAAATGCTCATTCTTCACCTTGGTGTTGTGCCCTGCAGCGCCAGGAGCCAGCGCCTGCTCCCACTTCAGCACCGCGCTCCCGGCATCCCATCCCCGCCTCCCGGCAGTCCTGCCTGGGCCACCGCAGCCCTGTGCCTGGGACCCATTACAGTCAGTCCTGTAAAGAGCTTCATATTGTGACTGTTCTGTTTCTGATGATGCCTAGTTTTTCTCTCTTCTGGTTTTTGCTCCTGGACATGGATCTGATGTCTTCATGTGGGGGTGTGCAGGGTTGGGGCGAGCAGAGCTGCTTTCCTTGGTGGCACGGGGTTGTGTGTGCAGAGGGGATGTGGCCCAAGGCACACCCAGACACACTTGGTCCAAACCCTGCCCCACAGCCCCACGATCCTGTCAACAGCACAGGACAGACCGTTTCTCCCACTATGTAAATGGGAAGCCTGAGCTCCAGCCGGCCAGGGTCATGGGGAGTGGCGGGGCTGTGTGCCTGGGTTGCACATCTGAGCTGGTGCATGCGGTGGCCCGGAAGTGGACATCTCAACTCTGCCACCTGGAGGGCCCGACATGGCTGCAGCCCTGGACCAGGGTGCAGGCCAAGCCTTGCCCCAACGTGCAGCTTAAAATCTTGTCCAGGGGCCTCCGGGCTGAGAGCCCAGCCCTGCCCTGTCTGTCAGAATGCTCCCCAGGGCCTGGACATCTAAGCAGATCTCTGTCCTGGCCCAGCTGGCTCCGGATTGACCGTGCATCCTCAGAAGTCAGGTGGAGTGGGGGCGCCAGGAGGGCCAGTGCCCTGAGCCTGCCCACTCGAAGGCCCCACTGAGCAGCAGTGGCAGCCACCTGCAGTCCCCTGGCAGGGGACTCCCTGGGTCCTTGATGAGCTCCTGGGGGAGAGGCAAGGGAAGGGCGGGAAGATGAAAGAAAGGGATGAATACGGGTGGAGCCCCAACATGCAAACAAGAGCTCCATCTCCAGGAGCAAGGCAGGGGCCCGCCTGGGGCTTCCTCATGCCATAGGGGTTGAGGGCATGCAGGACATCCACCACCTATGCACATGGCCCCATCAGCCCACCGACCCCCAAGCCACAGCACCCACACAGAAGGAAACCCCAACCCCGCAGTTAGAACTGGAAAAACACCTGACGTTCCCCTGGAGTTGTGACTGGCAGCCAAAGCCCGACAGTCATCTCTGCAAGGTATTGTAACAGAGATAGAGCACATGGGTCGTGTGGCCATGGTGGCCTCAGCCACCTTGGGGCACCCTGGACTCCGGCTTCTGCCTGCATGCAGCTGCTGACCCTGGGCCTGAGCCTGACCTGGCCTCTGCCCACTGCCCTGGCGCTGCACCACTGCCACCACCGCGCCGTCCTCCTGCTGCCTCTGCTGGTCTTCCTACCCTTCTCCTTCCCTTCTGTCAGAGCAGGAGCCTCTGCCCAAGACCACCCCTGGATCTGCAGGCCCAAGCCTCTCTCCTGACACCCGTGCTGCAGGAAGCCTGGAGTATCCGGGACCAGGCAGGACGCATGCAGACGCAATGGCACCATACATTTACACCCCACACGTGGACGGGACCTGGGCTCAGCCCAGCTACCAGCAGCTCATATGTGGGGCATGGGGACCCGAACAGTCAGTGCTGGCACGGTTGAGCATCTGTGACTCTGGGAATACCAGTGCCAGGCAGGCCTGTTATCTCCAACAACTTGGGTGGGCCAGCGTTGTGCCGCCCCAGGTCACAAGGAAGGTCCTCGACAGGTGGGCGGCTAGTGTGGCCCTTTCCTTCTCAGCTCAACTTCAGATGTCCCTAGAAGGCAGCTTTCTATGCACTCGTCGTTAACAAATGGTCAAGTCTCCCATGGACATACGAATTGCCTCTCAAATACCATGGCGGGCCCAGCTGCCAATCCACTTTATTTTGCTGAGGAAGTCTCTGCCCTGCCGAATGCAACTGCTACCCTGCATCTGCCCACATTGAAGTCCTGGAAATCGCAGGTCTCTGCTGGGGTGGGTCCCTTTCCATGGGTCCTGTGTCTTGATCTATTCTTCCACTTTAAGGTGCCCTCCTCCAGGAGCAACTGAAGACACGGGGTAAGGGGGTGAATGTGAGGTCTTACACTCTTCAAAAAAACTTGTGTTCTACTGCTATACTTCACAGCTGGGGATAGAGTTTTTAAGGAGGAAGTGATTTTCCTCTGAAACCTGAGTCTGCTCTGCAGACATGCAGCTCCCGCCACTGCTGCAAAGTCTGATCCTGTCTCCCCTTCTTGCTGTATTTGATTCATTTCTAGGCCCCCATTGCTTTTCAATTTCACAATTATAATTTTCAGCTCTTACCCGAGGGCCTTGCATTCTGGAAACCTGCTCTTCAGTTACAGAAAATCGTGTTGAATTATTTGACAATTTCCCCACTTCCATTTTCTTTGGCCTCTCTGGAGTCTGTTCTTCAGATTGTTAGGCACCCTGGGTCACCCTTTACAGTTTCTTCTTGATCCTTTCTTGTGGTACTCAGTGTGATTTTTTTTTTGAGGCAGGGTCTCACTGTCGCCTAGGCTGGAGCTTAGTGGGGCTAACTCAGCCAGCTGCAGCCTCGGTCTCCTGGCTCAGGCGATGCTCCCACTTTAGCCTCCTAAGTAGCTGGGATTACACTTTTATTTTCTGTCTTTGAGGGCTTTATTTCTGCTGCCAGGCCCTGATTTGCAGTTCTTTCTGTTCTGAGTGTGTTTTCCAGCACCCTGTTCTGGTTACACAGACACACTCTTCTCTGAGGAATTCCTTAGTTACCATTTACAAAGGGAAAATTACACTTTTAAGTGTACAACTTGATAAACCTTTGCACATGTACAAACCATGTGCCCAGCAGCCAGAGAACATCTAGAACTTTCCCCATCATGACCTAAAACTCCCTCCTGCCCTTTCCAGAGGTGGCCACTACAGACTACATCACTACTGACTCCATCACTAGGGACTCTCATCACTACTGACTCCATCACTAAGGACTCTCATCACTACTGACTCCATCACTACTGATCCATCACTAGGGACTCTCATCACTACTGACTCCATCACTACTGATCCATCACTAGGGACTCTCATCACTACTGACTCCATCACTACTGACTCCATCACTAGGGACTCTCATCACTACTGACTCCATCACTAGGGACTCTCATCACTACTGACTCCATCACTAAGGACTCTCATCACTACTGACTCCATCACTACTGACTCCATCACTACTGATCCATCACTAGGGACTCTCATCACTACTGACTCCATCACTAGGGACTCTCATCACTACTGACTCCATCACTACTGATCCATCACTAGGGACTCTCATCACTACTGACTCCATCACTAGGGACTCTCATCACTACTGACTCCATCACTACTGATCCATCACTAGGGACTCTCATCACTACTGACTCCATCACTAGGGACTCTCATCACTACTGACTCCATCACTAGGGACTCCCATCACTACTGATCCATCACTACCGACTCCATCACCACCGACTCCATCACCAGGGACTCCCATCACTACTGACTCCATCACCAGGGACTCCCATCACTACGGACTCCATCACCACTGACTCCATCACCACTGACTCCCATCACCACTGACCCCAACACTACAGATTCCATCACCACTGACTCCATCTCTACTGACTCCCATCACTGACTCCATCACCACTGACTCCAACACTACAGATTCCATCACCACTGACTCCATCACTGACTCCATCACCACCGACTCCATCACCACCGACTCCAACACTACAGATTCCATCACCACTGACTCCATCACCACTGACTCCAGCACTACGGACTCCATACCACCAACTCCATCATCACTACCGACTCCATCACCACCGACTCCATCTGTACTGACTCCCATCACTACTGACTCCATCGCCACCGACTCCATCACCACCGACTCCATCTGTACTGACTCCCATCACTACTGACTCCATCGCCACCGACTCCATCACCACCGACTCCATCTCCACCGATTCCCATCACCACCGACTCCATCACCACCGACTCCATCACCACTGACTCCAACACTAGATTCCATCACCACTGACTTCCATCGCTACTGACTCCAACACTAGGGACTCCCATCGCTACTGACTCTATCACTAGAAACTCCCATCACTACTGACTCTATCACTAGGGACTCCCATCGCTACTGACTCCAACACTAGGGACTCCCATCGCTACTGACTCCATCACTAGGGACTCCCATCATCACTACTGACTCCACCACTACTGAGTCCATCACTAGGGACTCCCATCACCACTGAGTCCGTCACTAGGGACTCCCATCACCACTGACTCCATCACTAGGGACTCCCATCGCTACTGACTCCATCACTAGGGACTCCCATCGCCACTGACTCCATCACTAGGGACTCCATCACTACTGACTCCATCGCTAAGGACTCCCATCGCCACTGACTCCATCACTAGGGACTCCATCACTACTGACTCCATCGCTAAGGACTCCCATCGCCACTGACTCCATCACTAGGGACTCCATCACACTGACTCCATCGCTAAGGACTCCCATCGCCACTGACTCCATCGCTAGGGACTCCATCACTACTGACTCCATCACTAAGGACTCCCATCGCCACTGACTCCATCACTAGGGACTCTCATCACTACTGACTCCATCACTAGGGACTCTCATCACTACTGACTCCATCACTAGGGACTCTCATCACTACTGACTCCATCACTAGGGACTCTCATCACTACTGACTCCATCACTAGGGACTCTCATCACTACTGACTCCATCACTAGGGACTCTCATCACTACTGACTCCATCACTACTGATCCATCACTAGGGACTCTCATCACTACAGACTACATCACTACTGACTCCCATCACTACTGACTCCATCACCAGGGACTCCCATCACTACTGATCCGACTCCATCACCAGGGACTCCCATCACTACGGACTCCATCACCAGGGATCCCATCACTACGGACTCCATCACCAGGGACTCCCATCACTACTGACTCCATCACCAGGGACTCCCATCACTACTGATCCATCACTACCGACTCCATCACCACCGACTCCATCACCAGGGACTCCCATCACTACGGACTCCATCACCAGGGACTCCCATCACTACGGACTCCATCACCAC